TTCTAAACAATTAAACTACAAAAGAACTGTTTGCACGTTTTTTTTTCTTTCAAGAAATTGAAACCAAAGTAAATAGTAATAGTATACTACAAAAATTTGCAAAAATGCAACAATTGAATATTCAAATCAAATTTGTCTTCATAAAAGGAAAATTTAATTGTGGGTTGACCAAAATGCAAGTGACTTATAGTGGCAGCATCTTTGTAAAGCTCAAATCGACACGCACAAATGCAAATATGGTCTGGTCCCATAATCATTAGGGTTAGGCCTTTTTTATTTTATTTTTAAATTTATAATTATTTTATTTTATATGTGTGTAATGCAGAGGAATAATATCAAAATTATAAAAGTCTCGATTTCAATGCATTAGTTTAAAACGTATAGGATTTATAATTCAAACTTAACAGATACAACTTCAAAGGTTCAATAGACATATAATTTCACATATATAATCAAACTTATGCCGTGATAAAGACGCAACCTAACAAATATGATTTATTTGAAATACATGTAAGATAATACTTTGTTTACTACAATTTGAACCAAGTGATAATCTCATTAATCAAATATTCAATTTAGACTTCAACCGCACCATAGAATAAATTAAAGATTTTGGCATAAAGTTAAAGAAGCAAACACACACATTATAACAGTTGTACGGATTCAGAAAAAAAGAAAAAAAAAAAATAATATTAAAGGATTTTAGATTGTTATATAGATATCTTTTAGTATTTTTAGTCAAACGATATTAGATTGAATATAAAAAAATATAGTTTTCCTCTTTTAGTATAAGTCAAACGCAAAACCCTTTATAATATAAATAATATATAAAACAAATTGGAAAGTCTTTTGAGGTAAAGTAAAACAAAATAAATAATTAATATGTAAATAAAAGTAAAATAAATTAAGATTATGAAAGCAAGCCTGGTATGGTAAACCACGTTAAAGATGTTGTCCTAAAGCCTTTGTAGCCGCCCTATGTACAGGTATTGACGGTCTACAAAACTCCAAGATACGACACCGAATACACAGGCTCAAGATCCGCTATGAGCACGTTCACAGTCGAATATAGGTTTCCAAGTCACATAACCGACAAAAAATAATAATATAAGTAAAGAAAGTATAAAAGGTATAAGAGGAGAGAATAAAATTGTGGTGGTGATTGTGGTATGTGATATTTTGATAGTATATCAAATGTGAAGTAGGAGTCGCTTTTTATAGACATCCAAGAACATGTAACCTTCACCACATTAAACCAAAAAAATTAAAGCATTCAATATAGAAATAATAATTTGAAAATAAATATTTATAACCCCACAATAAATAAAATAAATCAATCAATCAAGACGGTAAATTTTTTAAAACATTTTTAAAATTCCAACAGTATTGGAGGATAATTTACACAACAGATTTATGTAATCCATCTCCATTTTCTTGTTACGTTATAAAAGAGATAGAGAAAACATTATATATAAAACCGTGACATACAAGTTTTTCTTAAATACGTAAGCACATCCGTCAAATTGAATTAAATTAGCGACCCCGACCTTAAGAATCCCTGGCACCGCGTAATGCCATATTGATGGAGAAAACTCCAAACCAGTCGCTCATCATGCCTTCACTAAATAACACAAGTGGTTTCGTTATTTTATTTTGTTGATTGAGATTTGGTTAGAAATTTCTGTGTCCATTGGCGTATTGTGTGGCCAACTGAGATGACACGTAGGATATATAATCATGCTGACTGTACGTACAGGAGGCAATGCATATGCATGAACCATTATGCAGTAGAGTTTTGGTTGGACTGACAAATTTGAATTTGTCTAGATGACAGCCTGCCTAATAGAATTCTAAATCACCCACAAAAATATCCCATGTGATCTGTCGATTTGTATTAATAGGATATGCTCAACAATTGAGAGCTGCAATTGGATCCCCATAAAGAAAAAAAGTAAAAAAGTAAAAATTATATATATATATATATATATATATATATACATGCAGAAGAAGTTTGGCATTAGGTTCATAAACTGGTACGACAAATACTTGCACTTGTTTGAATCTTCTGCCCTTTTTCATATTTTGTTTGCTAATTTTACTGGTGTATTATTGCGTGTGAGGCTGTGTGCCTGCAATAATGTACTTTTTTGGTTTTCTGTGGTGATGATCGGCACTTCATGTGTACTAGCTACCAACCAATTCTTTCATTTTGTCGGGACGTGAATCGTGACACGTCCAGTTAAGAATCGACTTAATCGATGGTTCAAATTCACAGTCAGATGCTTCAATAATGTAAGGAAACATCTTATGTTACTTTTATGAAGCTTTAGTTAAATATTGTGCGGTTGTAAGTACAAATGAATTAAAGTCATTGGTGGGAGGGAGCAAACATCCCTGTGCATAAATAGTAAATACGAAGCATATACGCAAGAAGCTCAAGCTTGTTGTATATAACGAGAACCGTCAATTCGTAGAGATTTATACTCCAAATTAAAAGGCGCATGCGAGTCTCTTGGGTCATGGCTTCTTCTTCTTCTTCTTATTCTCCCTCCTCATTATTCAGCCCCATAAGCTTCCCACTACTTTCTCCCTCCCATTTTCTCTCAACCATGTTTGCTTTTGCTGGTGCGCAACTCTGTCACCCCAAACTCATTTCCAGGTTCATCATCTCTTAATTCTCTTCCCCTTCAATTTTCTGCTTAATTTCATCAGCATGGTTCTTCAATTTTCTCCTGCTATTTCTTTGCATGCCGATCTGTCGTTTTGATATTGTTCCTCGAACTCGTGAAGGTACATATTGTAAATCTTCTTTGATTTGATGGGTTATTAATTAGTACTTGTTCTTCTGCTTGTTCTTCTTCTTTTTTAAAAAATCAAAGTTCTTCTGGTTCTATATAGTTGTTTCTGGTCACTTCTCCAACATTCCTGTCTTTGTGGAAAATGGTGGGTGTATCTATCAAATTCTGGGTTTCCTTTAAGTTGTTCTAAAATCTAGTGGTTGTCACTTGTTAGCCAATCTGTTTGCAAAAAATAAAAATTATTCGCACACGTGTCAAATGGCTTTTAACTTAATATTTCTTTTTCTTTTTATATATTTTATTAGCACTTTTAAATCTTTGCAGAATTTGCACACCTCTCAACCACAAAATTAAGGCAAGTTCGAAATGTTTTTGGCCTTTTTTCCAAACAATTAAAAAGACTTCCCATTTTCGTTTACGGAAAATAATCAAAAGCTAGCTTTGCGTTTTGAACAAGTGTTCATGCGGCCCCTCAATAATACACCCCTTAAGTCACATTCTGATTTGTCTGCTTCACTCGCTTTCAGGACGGAGTTAGAAATTTTTTTTAAAGTGGAGAATCACATGGAAAATGCTTCTTTCCAGAATTGATTATGGCCCTCTCAAACGAGCCATTTTTTTTTTTTTTTTTTTTTTTTTTTTTTTTCTTTTTCCTGGTTCTTTTTTTGTTCTCTTTTTTTTTTTTGCTTTTTTTTGTTTCATTTTTTCCAATCCATTTTGGTGGAACCCCATTTGAGACCCCATTTGGGACCCATATGCATATGATTAATGTCCATGGTCCCCTTAGTGTCTGTCTGTCTCTTTGTCACTATAATGCCTGAAGATTTTTCTATATGTATAGGAGAAGTTGCAATTTGCATGTATGGTAACATAATACAATTGCCACTTACACTTTATCATACACGTTTTGCTTTGATGATGTTTTGCGCATAGACAAAGTTCTGTCAATTTTAGCATCTGCTTTAGGTTTTATGCTTGACCGGAATTGACCATTCGATCCAGCTACAAAAACTTCCTTTTGAAGAATATGAAATTTAAAAGAAATTCATGAACCTCTGAGCATTTTCATTGACAAAATTTTGCTGGCCTTTTTTGTGCATGAATAATTTCCAGAGAGTCGCAAAATAAATCACCGACTATTTGAGTCATCTAAGAAAAGAAATAAATCTAACACTATACATTTTTTCTTTCTTTCTTAGTTTAGCGACCACCGTCTTGTATTGTTTCTTATTATTATTATTATTATTATTATTATTATTATTTTTAAATAAAAATGATAATCTAAACTACAAGTATACAAATAAAGGGGATTTCTCACCACAAGCGATATTCTTTTCGATTGGTTACTTTGTGTTGTCACGGGCCGGATTTGGCTTTTTCTGGGTCCCAAATTATTATTATATTTTATATGCTTTGACTAGTGTTGTCAATCAGTCCAATATTATTGGCATAGAAATTAAAAGTAAACCCAAATTCTAAATCATGTTACATAGATCTACCCTGTTTTTGGTCTTTACAAATTCTTCTATTGAGATTAAAATAAAACCATATTTAAATAGAAAAAAGACTATTTATAGCTGACCAACCAAGTTCCTCCTAATTGGCTTAAACCACCAATTAAAAAACCATGAACATTTTTTTTATCACCTGAGTTAAATACAAAGAATGATTTTTATTTTATTTTTAAAGTAAAATCCCAGAGATTCAAAAGATATGCACAACAAATTTGTACAAAAGATAAGCGCTCTGTGATGGGATTGAACCAAGTAGTGACAAATGTTACTACCTTCATGGCTATTTCCTCCCTGTGTGGTACGGCCTCACATGTAATACGTATGCATCAACTTTGGTGGCTTTCCTTGGAAAAAAACAACTTGAATTCCACTCTGTGATTTTTGCTTTGGATTTTGATGATGGCTAATATTCTGTTTTCTTCTCTCTGTTTGTTTTTGTTTCCCAGGATTTTTCTTTTGTTTAGCAGTACACTAACGAAGTTCAAGCATCTCATATAAAACACTGCAAAGAGAAACACATTTGGACAGTTTTGGGACTAGAAAACCAGAAACTGCAGTCTCTGTCTGAAGTTTCAACTACCAAGGAAAAAAGGAAAAAGAGAGAGAGAGAGATGGGTTTCTGGACATTGTTGAGGTGGCTTGTATGCCAACTTTCCAAGTTCTCATCATCAGTGTACTGGGAGCTTTCATGGCAACTGAGTATTGGAATCTTCTCCCTGCAGACGCCAGGCGGTCCATGAACAAGGTAGGCACATGTTCTGTTTTTTGGTACATAAGTTGGTTCCTGCGTGAATCAGACGCAAATAAGTATTTATGATTAATTGGAAGTTGTTGAGTTATGATTTACAAAAAATGCAGGTTGTTGTTTGTGGTTTTCACCCCCTCACTGGTGTTTGCAGTGTGGCCAAGACTATTACATTTGAAGACATTATTTCAATGTATGCCTCTGCATCTGTATTTGGATCTTTTTTCTTTGTGCATCATTTTTATTCTGTTTAATATCTCCCATTTTTTTGATTATTGATTCAGGTGGTTTATGATCGTAAACGTGGGGCTTACATTTTTATTTGGAGGGATTCTTGGATGGATTTGGTAAAGATAGTCAGACCAAACCTTATCAGGAAGGCCTGGTAATGGCTGCATGTTCATCAGTAAATGCACAATTTTTTTATTTTATAGTTTTTTCATCTCTTTCTTATAGCAGCAATTTGTAGTGTGCTCATCAAGTAATGGCAATCTTGTTGAATAGCAAACTTGGGAAACCTTCCCCTTATACTTATCCCTGCAATCTGTGAAGAGGATGGGAACCCATTTGGCGATCATAGTGTTTGTAAAAGGGTTGGACTCTCATATGTGTCTTTTTCCATGGCGGTAATGCAATTGTTAAACCTCTACTTGTTCATGATTTAAAAATAAAAAATGAATTAATTTCAAAGCTAACAGTAACTTGGTTATTGCAGCTTGGGGGTTTCTTCTTCATCATCTGGACTTACAGTTACCAGCTGATACGAACTTCAGCGATGAAATGGAAAGCGCTTCAAGCAATTGAGGCAGCTGAGGAGGCCTCAAAGAATCCCAACAGTGATTTAGAACGCTGAGGGGGAAACTCCCCTTCTCAAGGGAGAAGATGAAGAGCAGGGTTCTATAGTAGTTTCATCAAATGGTTCTAGAAACCAAGAAGCTGTGAGTACCCTCATATACCAATCTACATAACAAGTCTGATGAAAACTAGAGCTAGTCTGGCTTCAGTTTGTGTTATATATATATATGCAATATTAACTCAAGCATGTTGTTTGGGGACTATCTGGATTTCTCAAATGGCAGATAGTAGCCGATGAATCAGACGTACCATTCAGCCGAAAAGTAGTAGCATTTGTTTAAGCAGCTTTACATGAGTTACTGGCACCACCAACAGTAGCTGCGGTGAGTTTTTCTAACATTTTCTCTTACGGTAAAAATGCTTCTCGAGACCTCAAGACTGACCAAGAACTGACTTGTCTTTGTTATCTGTCTATGATCAGATTGTGGGATTTTTTATTGGTCAATTCCATTTCTTAAGAAGCTAATATTGGTGACAGCGCCCCCCTGCGGGTGATCGAAGACTCTATTACACAACTTGGGTAGGTACCTTTCTGCTTAAGGCGCATCCCTTATGGTTCAATCAAACAAATTTAAACCGAAAAACATTCTGTGTACTAAGCCAAGTAACAATAACTGCACTATGCAGGAATGGAACCATCCCTTGTATCACACGTATTCTTGGAGTTTTTTTTTTTTTTTTTTTTTTTTTTTTTTTTTTTTTTTTTTTTTTTTTTTTTTTTTTTTTTTTTTTTTTTTTTTTTTTTTTTTTTTTTTTTTTTTTTTTTTTTTTTTTTTTTTTTTTTTTTTTTTTTTTTTTTTTTTTTTTTTTTTTTTTTTTTTTTTTTTTTTTTTTTTTTTTTTTTTTTTTTTTTTTTTTTTTTTTTTTTTTTTTTTTTTTTTTTTTTTTTTTTTTTTTTTTTTTTTTTTTTTTTTTTTTTTTTTTTTTTTTTTTTTTTTTTTTTTTTTTTTTTTTTTTTTTTTTTTTTTTTTTTTTTTTTTTTTTTTTTTTTTTTTTTTTTTTTTTTTTTTTTTTTTTTTTTTTTTTTTTTTTTTTTTTTTTTTTTTTTTTTTTTTTTTCTAATGCAGCCGGGGCGCTAAAAAAGAGTCTTTGAAAAAAGAATATGTATAGTGACCCAACACAAAGTTCCTCCTAATTGGAAAACCACCAATTAAAAAAACCATGAACATTTTTTTATCACCCTGAGTGAAATACACAGAATGGATTTTATTTATTTTTAAAGTTAAAAATCCCAGAGATTCACAACAAAATTTGTACAAGTGGGGATTGAAAGTAGTATGGCTTATTCCGAATACGCATCAACTTTGGGGCTTCCTTGGCAACTTGAATTCCATTGCCTTTGGATTTTGATTGATGGCTAATATTCGTTTTTTTCTCTGTTTGTTTTTTGTTTCCCAGTTTTGTTTTGCTAACGAAGTTTCCATATAAAAACACTGCAAAGAGAAACACATTTGGACAGTTTTGGGACTAGAAAACCAGAAACTGCAGTCTCTGTCTGAAGTTTCAACTACCAAGGAAAAAAGGAAAAAGAGAGAGAGAGAGATGGGTTTCTGGACATTGTTGGAGGTGGCTTGTATGCCAACTTTCCAAGTTCTCATCATCAGTGTACTGGGAGCTTTCATGGCAACTGAGTATTGGAATCTTCTCCCCTGCAGACGCCAGGCGGTCCATGAACAAGGTAGGCACATGTTCTGTTTTTTGGTACATAAGTTGGTTCCTGCGTGAATCAGACGCAAATAAGTATTTATGATTAATTGGAAGTTGTTGAGTTATGATTTACAAAAAAATGCAGGTTGTGTTTGTGGTTTTCACCCCCTCACTGGTGTTTGCAAGTGTGGCCAAGACTATTACATTTGAAGACATTATTTCAATGTATGCCTCTGCATCTGTATTTGGATCTTTTTTCTTTGTGCATTCATTTTTATTCTGTTTAATATCTCCCCATTTTTTGATTATTGATTCAGGTGGTTTATGATCGTAAACGTGGGGCTTACATTTTTATTTGGAGGGATTCTTGGATGGATTTTGGTAAAGATAGTCAGACCAAAACCTTATCAGGAAGGCCTGGTAATGGCTGCATGTTCATCAGGTAAATGCACAATTTTTTTATTTTATAGTTTTTCATCTCTTTCTTATAGCAGCAAATTTGTAGTGTGCTCATCAAGTAATGGCAAATCTTGTTGAATAGCAAACTTGGGAAAACCTTCCCCTTATACTTATCCCTGCAATCTGTGAAGAGGATGGGAACCCATTTGGCGATCATAGTGTTTGTAAAAGGGTTGGACTCTCATATGTGTCTTTTTCCATGGCGGGTAATGCAATTGTTTAAACCTCTACTTGTTCATGATTTAAAAATAAAAAATGAATTAATTTCAAAGCTAACAGTAACTTGGTTATTGCAGCTTGGGGTTTCTTCATCTGGACTTACAGTTACCAGCTGATACGAACTTCAGCGATGAAATGGAAAGCGCTTCAAGCAATTGAGGCAGCTGAGGAGGCCTCAAAGAATCCCAACAGTGATTTAGACGCTGAGGGGAAACTCCCCTTCTCAAGGGAGAAGATGAAGAGCAGGGTTCTATAGTAGTTTCATCAAATGGTTCTAGAAACCAAGAAGCTGTGAGTACCCTCATATACCAATCTACATAACAAGTCTGATGAAAACTAGAGCTAGTCTGGCTTCAGTTTGTGTTATATATATATATGCAAATATTAACTCAAGCATGTTGTTTGGACTATCTGGATTTCTCAAATGGCAGATAGTAGCCGATGAATCAGACGTACCATTCAGCCGAAAAGTAGTAGCATTTGTTAAGCAGCTTTTACATGAGTTACTGGCACCACCAACAGTAGCTGCGGTGAGTTTTTCTAACATTTCTCTTACGGTAAAAATGCTTCTCGAGACCTCAAGACTGACCAAGAACTGACTTGTCTTTGTTATCTGTCTATGATCAGATTGTGGGATTTTTTATTGGGTCAATTCCATTTCTTAAGAAGCTAATAATTGGTGACAGCGCCCCCCTGCGGGTGATCGAAGACTCTATTACACAACTTGGGTAGGTACCTTTCTGCTTAAGGCGCATCCCTTATGGTTCAATCAAACAAATTTAAACCGAAAACATTCTGTGTACTAAGCCAAGTAACAATAACTGCACTATGCAGGAATGGAACCATCCCTTGTATCACACTTATTCTTGGAGGCAACCTCATCCAAGGTAATGAACCTATGATTTTCAACATTAGAACTAGTTTTCTTCTGTTCTAGGAGGTGAGACAATCTGACAAACTAATCAAATAGGTTTACGCAAATCGACGATCAAAATTCCTATCATCATTGGAGTGATCATTGTTAGATACGTAGTAATGCCCGTGATTGGTATCGGGATTGTAATAGGAGCAAGCAAGGTTGGGTTTCTCCCATCAGACCCTCTGTTCCATTTTGTGCTGATGGTTCAGTTTACCCTGCCACCTGCGATGAATATTGGTAAGCAGCAAGTGTTTCTAACTCTAGTATGCTTCTGCAAATAGCAAGCTTCACAATCTAGGGTTGCTAACATCTTCCTTATAATTAATGCAGGAACCATGACCCAGCTGTTTGATGTGGCTGAGGCAGAGTGCTCAGTGATCTTCCTGTGGACATACTTGGTTGCAGCCTTGGCACTTACTATTTGGTCAACAGTCTATATGTGGCTCTTGTCTTGAACTGCCTTCAGCTGAGGATGGCTAGCATCCCTAAATGGTGCATTTTATAGTGAGAGGCTTACACTTCAGAGGGAAGAAGGATCTACATTCCTGCATTTGGGTGTTCTTTTGTCCTCCATTTTTCGATTCGATTGGTTGTTTCAACTAGAAGAAAAAAATTAATTAGAGTATGATTTGGGCGTGTATGTAGATCCCATAGTTTCGTTTACTTATTGTGTAGTAGGAAAAATATATATAAAGAGAAGGGGGTGATTGTGTGTTAGATTTTTCATAGCTCAATGTTTCTCATTGATAAAGCCTTGATTTATGCATTATGATTCATTGTGGTGCATTGTTCTTGTTGAATTGAAATTAGTATCAATGCAAGCACCAATTTTTTGCTTGGGACATCCACTGGCAGAAAATTCGTGGAAAAACACCAAGTTTAACTATGATTTGTTGAGTCATCAATAATAATAACCAGATTAAACTACCCTTCAAACTGCCCAACCAGACCTGGAATATAAATTGTAAAACATTAAACCTAAAAAATACAACTGAGTCGTTTGGGTTGGCAACAATAACACCTTAAAATTCAACTGTTTTGTGCATAGAATCAATTTCTAATCTCTCAGCTCTACAATCAATTTCCAAAACTCTCACACCGTAAATTCAAAAAGTAAAATAAATTATACTGTGAAACTATACACTATTTCCTATGTGTCCTATGACAGCTATCTCCCCCTGATTGTTAGAACCAAGCATTGCAATAGCTCTTGGCTCACACAACCCACTGCAGATACTTGTCTCATCTGAAAGCAGAGTACCGGGGAGAGGCAAAGTTACTCGGCTACACTAACGTAAGCTGGAGTTTCGGCCTATTGGGCTGGGGCTCCACAATCTCCAAATGAATAAACACCGTCTGCAGAACACTGTATGACATGCTGCCATCCATTTTTCTAATCTTCTGCTGCTGCTCATCAACAAACCACTCTCCGCCTCCCTTATCACCTCTTGGGGTCAAGTAGACAGGCCCTTCTATTCCATACCTGCAAAAGATGGGAAAAAGAAAGAGTTCACATATGTAAACCACCTCCACAAGTTTATCTTAACACTCGACTCCACTCCAGAATATTAAAGTCAGTCCACACACACAAAACAGACAGAAAAGGATTCTGTATGAGGTGAGGAAACATACTTGGGCACAAATACGAAAAATCCATTGGATCTTATCCTTACTATTCTCGCCTCTGTGTCCGTTGGCCTACATGAATGAAAGGAGATATTAGAGAGAGAGAGAGAGAGAGAGAGAGAGAGAGAGAGAGAGAGAGAGAGAGAGAGAGATAGAGAGAGTGTGTGTGTGTGTGTGTGTGTGTGTGTGTGTGTGCTTCATACCGTTTCCTGAAGAAAATGAGAGTATGGAGCTCCACTGAGGCCCGGCTTGCCATCTGGGCATTTCTATGTCGATAATTTAAATCTGTAGCACAAATAAGTGAAAGCAGCATTCTTAGAGTTCAATATACCCAAAGTATAAATAAAGTTGAGAAGCTATTACCTACAAAGTATTGAGATAAATGAATTAACCATGTCCTAGAAGAGCAAATAAGAATCTTCACTCAGAAGAGTAAATATAAATATAGAAAAGAAAATTTCCGTTAAAGCACATTATACAGAATATGGGCACATTTGGAATCTCAGTTATAAGCCGGGTGGCTGCATCGATATTCTAAGAACAATAAGGACCCATTCCTCCTTACAAGCCAATAATAATTTGATATGTATTGACTTGCAAGTAAGCACTTACGAGGAAAATAAAAAATAAAAAAATTTGGATACATGTCAAATTGTCATTGGTTTGTGGGGTGAGGAGCCAAGCATTTTTCTTATGATAATATCACTCATAAATATGAAAATGTACAAAAAAGAAAAAAAGACGGGGAAAATTATTCCGTACTGTCAGCAATGCTAGTTAGCCGGGTTCCGTCTTGGAATATAGTTGGAAGCTTCTGTATCCCTAAAGAAGCAGCAAGCAACCTGTGCACTATGACATCTGCAGGAAAAGAAAGTTCGTAAGTTAAACAACAATAACTCCATCACCAAGAATTACATGACTAAGACTGAATCTAACCTGCATATCTCCTTATAGGAGAGGTAAAATGAGTATATAGAGGTGCTGCAAGCCCATAATGAAGATATTCGGGAGGGCTGAGATCCCCACTAGAGAAATAAACAGCCTATGCAAATCAAAGGTAAATGAATACATGTAGAAAGGTGTCCTTCAAGAGAATTTCAACTTCACTCAACCATTCAAGTAATGTTACCTGTGTCATGCATCTAGTAGCCAATATACGAATCAGCTTATTGAAGTATGGATCATCAGCCTGGGAAAAATTCAATTTTTTTACAATATGTGGGTGTGAGAGAGAACAAAATAATGAAACACAACACTTAACTGAAGAAAAGCCATAAGTCTCATACTAATAACATGCATATGAAATAAACACCTACCACTGCAGAGTCAAGTGAATCAGCCAGTGCTTTTGATGATGAGACATCCAAGTTGAGACCAACAGCAGCAGCTGTACGCAACAAAGGTTCAAGCATCTCTCTCGTTGGAGTAGGATGGCGCCTGCAGAACACATACGTAAATTAAATGACCAAAAAAAGAGACATGCGGCAAAGTTAGAAGGCAGCTATGCACCTATCCTGCCATAACCACAAAGTTTAGATGAAAAAAGAAAATTACATCAACCATTTAGATAAGAGATCTACATTTAACGAAAAAGTGATACATTCCAACACAACCAACCTAAATAGACCCCTGTGCCACTTTATAGCCTTAATTGTAATCAAAAGACAATCAGAAGGACATTCCAGGAAAAATAACACGAGACCATGAAAATTGTTGAAGAAAAATCCACTAACTTACCTCAATAGTGAACAAAGAGGAAAATGTTTAAGGATCTTCTCAGCAACTGAAACATTAGCAGCAAGCATAAATTCCTCAACCATCTGGTTTGCTTCACGAATCTGGTACATTCCTGCAGAAACAAGTCATGATTAGAAACATAACAGCTAAGAAAAGAGCCAAAATAATGAAATCGCTACAAAAGAAAATAAGCAATAAAACCAGACTCCAAAGCAACACGTTTAATACAGTCTACCTAATGATGCTACGACCTTCACAAACACGAAGTACTAAACATGGGTAGAATATGATATATGCATTACCAACTTTAAAATCAATGTGAATGTGAATATTATCAGCCAAAAAATGTGAACAAGTGGAGTTGAGAGTAAATATTTATTATGCCTACATGACCCTAGAGCAGCACTAAGCAATTAATATCATGAAATAAGGTAATTATTCATTGGTGGATTATTCAACAGCACAGCTGATCTTTTCTCAGTGCAAGTAAATCGGTTCAGGATTCAGACTCGGACTACAATCAATGAAAGTTTGATATGTTGAACATGAAATTTGCCTTTCCAACCACATACCAATATCAAGAGGATCATGAGTTTCGGTGTCAATTTGAAACTTGACTTCAGCAGATGCAAGAGTTAAGGCTCCTCTCTGGATACGTCTTTCCCTCATTATCTGTCGCATCATATACAAATGCATATTGTTCAGAGAAGTCAAGAAAATAGATAGCATATTACAGCAGTTTAACCCATGAATTCATAGCCAAGGTAAAGCCCACGTGTGCATACCTTTGCTAAAGCATTCATGTTTCTTAAATCTGTAGTTAATGGATCCATCAACCGACTGCAATAAGAAAAAAGCAATAAGAAAGCCTTATTATAAAAATGCAAAGCTACAAGAAACTTTTATAGGGGCCATAGGAAAGGGATCAACCATGCAGGGGCCAATTGCAAAAACCCTACACCAGTGAGCAGATTGAATCATTGGTGCAGGTTTAAAATTCACCATTGGTGCCACATAGAGTTTAATCTCTCTCCTTGTTCACTGAGTGCTATAGCAACAAAAGATGCCAGATTCTTAGACATTTTCCACCAGGAGGAGTTAGAACCAGTTTGTTTGCCAGGCAATGCATACCATAGGCCCATTTTATTATAGATTTCTAAAGCTGACACTTGCACACTTATGACTAGTGCTGTCAAACTCCTTTATATGCACTTCAAGTTCATAATACACAGCTATTCATCGCTAACCAGGATTCAGTAGATAAGGCTCAACCCAACACATTATGGGTTAGCGACATCAACCTTACTCTGTATTCTGGTGATTAGGCATCATCTTGAAAAATCAAAGAAGCACTACAATCTAGATCTCTTCTTGGAAGCTCTACTTAGGTTATTTACTTATCAGACCATTCCAACCCCAGATGATCACATTCTGCGGAGACTTGCATCCCCAATGTACTCTCTTTCTTTCAAATGTTAGGACCAACTCACTTCTATCATTCATCTTACTTTTACGTGTCAAATCACAACAAAATATGCTTCCTAGAGCATTGTAGGATATATTGTCATTTTATACATTACAATCACATGCACATGCAGTATATAGGTAGAAACATAACAAGTGAATGCATGAAGTAAGTGAAGCAAATATAATGCTCATGTGGCAAAAACGTACCTGAAACAAATCTATTATTCTAACAAGAAGTAAAGTTTACTAAGATTAACAAAACATCATTATAATTATTGAACATGAGAGTATCCTGCAAACCAAAGTGGTATGGTCAAAATGAATTTATCTACCAAAAGGTAACTAAGTTGGAGTGGAAATGCACCTATCATCCATCCTCGCTTGAGCTTCAATGTAAGACAATGCTGCACACGATTTAATGACACTTTTTGTGTACATCGTAGAAATAATCTCAGCTTCAGGTGTCATTTCCTGAAATTCAGGTAAACAAGTTTACACCAATCCAAAAAAAACAAAAGAAGACTCCAACATTGGTTAAACCTATCTTATGTGTGTGTGTGCGTGCAAATAAAACAAATATAATATGGTATCTCTGTAACAGATTCATGTGTGTGTTTGTATACAAATGTGTGTTTTATGACCGATAAACACTGCGTAAGTTTGTGTCTTATGAAAAAAAAATGCAAAATCCAGCTTATTGATTGATTTAAGAAATTCAAATTATAAAAGAAATAACTAATAGTTTAAAATATTAATCTTATTGTGACTAGTCGGGAGTACATACCCATATAACAGAAAAAGCTAGCCTCTCCACATCAGCTCGAAGAGAACATACATCTGCATAATAAGAACTATATCTTTAAATCACAGAAAATGCAATCATAATATCAAACTTTCTTTTTACTGCACTCATTACAGAAGAAGATTTTTATTTTATTTCAAAAAGTCACCTTCCGTCAAAGGTTTTGGAAGCATGTCAATGCGCCGTTCAACTAGGTAGACCGAAGTGCCCCTTTGTGAAGCCTCATCATCAAGAGGAGTGTCCGAGTGTACAAAATTTGTTACATCAGCAATATCTAATTGAAGTCGTTAAGGATAAGCTTTTAGGTTACTCATTTTATACTTATAGTAAAAGTTGGCATGGGTGGCAGAATAAGGCATGAAAAACAAAAGTTTTGAGTAAGTAAACAACAATACATGTTAGAAATGAGAAAAAATGTAATGCACCAAACAAAAGTAGGAAGCAGAGAAAGCAATGGACAAGACTGCATTAATGCATTATAATTATATTCTAAAATAAATTTCATGTTTTTGTCTTCTGAACTTGCAGAAACTATCTCTTCTTTCAGACTTGGGTTATGCATTGACACAAAGATAAATGCATAATCTTTATCGCTAATGCACAATTAAACCTTACACTTCAGTTATACAAGCAACTTCGATTATTAATAAATGTCATGAGGTTGAGGATACGGACTCCAACTTCGTAATTTCCATTTGGAAGAGATGTACAGTGCAATGCATCATCAATATCCTTGCATCCTGCAGAAACCAGAAGAAAAGCACTTATTATAACATTTAACTAAACTATTAATTATCTACCCAACAGAAAACAGCAAAAAATAACAAAAACCAATAACAAATTAGGCAGAGGGAGAAGAACAAGGAATAAAAAAAATAATCTACAGGTCATATACCAGGAGGGTCCACACTAAAGACACGCAATTGTCGCAAATCCTGTCTAATAGAATTTGCCAAATCTTCAGAAGACACAGACCATGGTAACGGTGGCAAGCATGCCAGAACTTGAGAAGAAAATGGTCTTGTATTTATATCATTCTCAATCAAGACCACCTGCAACATCCGAAAAGTTAAATCAGTGTCATTGCCATCTAAACTTCAATTGATTAGATGTTTAAATAGTACATAAGAAGGTCAAATATGGATGTTCAAACAAACAAATGCAAACAATGGAACTCCTTCCAGCCTACCTCAGTTTCAGTATCTCTATCACCTATTTGTCCTATGGTTCGTACATAATGGCCAGAAGGATAACGAGACAAACGGTCCCAAGAATCAACCGCCACAACAATTCTCTTGTCCAGAAGATTCTCAAGCTGTCGTGTGTGTATTCGAATCTTAGGAATCCTACGATCTTTCGAGGCAAATAAGGCATGGGCAACACCACCACTACCTGCAGGCATAGCCATCGGCTCCAAAGATCCACAATAACTGCACGAGTGTTAATTTATATCAGATAACAGAACCAATCACTAGAAAAGATCATCATAACAACCAACAGCTGCAACTGCAAATTGAAGCAAATGAGAATCTACAAACATCTGGATAACAGTGGGATGTTAGCATAGCACAACAATGACTACTTTAAGGCATAGACATGCCAAAAGGTAACACAATGTTTGCTACCTACTTGAATGAAGAAACATATTTCAGCCAAACAATAATTTGAACAGATACCACTTCTGTCAGCAAGACAAAAAGGCTTCAGGCAGCCAATGAAGTCAACTTACGAATGCCAATTCCGCTTTATAATACCAACAACACGGCCAGATGGACGGCTTGAGATAGGCTCTGTTACTCCAGCAGAACCTGGTGGTTGAGCTGTAGTCCTAGGAGCATCGTCAGCACTTCCTGGAACCAGATGAACATCTTCTTCCTCATCCTCTGCAAAATAGTACAAAGTATATTAATTAAAAAAATTAATAAGGAGAGAGAGAGAGAGAGAGAGAGAGAGAGAGAGAGAGAGAGAGAGAGAGAGAGAGAGAGAGAGAGAGAGAGAGAGATGCTTTCAACCTCCCACCCGAAAAAAGTAACTAGAAATAAAATCAAAACTAAGACCCACCTTCATCTGCTAGAGCTAGAGATTTCTCCTCATGCCATTGATCCTGAGGCAGAAGCTCAACTGCCACTATATCCCCATCAAAAGCCCTATTCATGTTTGTACGTCCATAGATTATAATCTCATCACCAATGCTCTCACTTCCAACATAGGCTTCAAATGGGTTGTAACGATTCACTCTAAGTTTGCCTTGATGGTATATACCGCGATGCAAACCAGACGTAATCTCAGACATGGGCTTATGCTGGAAAAGAAAAGAGAGAAAAAACTGGTAAGAACCACATTTGTGTCATGGAATTTATAACAACACTAAAACGAACAAAGGCACACATACTCAGTGGCAGTACCTCTGTGTAAATGATTTTCCTCTTTGATGGTCTCAAATCTTCAACTTCCTCCATGTTTACATCTTCTGATGCAGGCTGAACAAGCAGGTCAAGCAAATCTGGTCGACTCAATGACCTCACATAAGACTCCACTGAAGACAAGGCAATAATTCCCAAGTGAGTAATTCCACAAAACTTCCAACATTTGAAAATAAACACATTTAATTATGTGGATATTAAACTCCAAGGGAAGGTCTGAAGTATAAGAGATGCTGTCAAAAAACGACGTGGATAGCAACCATATTATACACACCTGTTTCTGCAGAAATTCCCTCTTCAATAGCCTTTCTCTTATTCTCTTTGTCATTAGTTATAAGTAAAATCCGAGCAGAACCAGCAAGATGAGTTTGATACCATTGAGCGGCCACCCGAATTGCTGAATAATAATTTCTTAGGTGAGAAAAGTAGGAAATTTATAGATGCATGCCACACAATAAACCAAATTCCATAACCGGTATTGCATAGTGTTGGCAGGTAACAAAAATACACAAAAAATCAACAAGTACAAAACACCAAGTATATCCTGAGGAAACAAATTTTGTAATCACAGCATGAGCAAACCTCTATCATTTCGATCATTTTTACTCTCTCCGCTCATTTCCGTAACATATGTATCCCTGAATACAGCACCAATCAACACATGTCAAAAAAGTGGTTAAAATCCCGACAAAAATGACAAGATAAAAAAATAACCTTCAAAACACAGCTTCTCAATTTATAAATAGAACCTACTTGTGGTGTTCGTTGGAGAAAACAAAGAATTTCCTTAAAGAATTGCTGCAGAGAGCTCTAACTCTATTGTAAACAGACAAATTCCTGTTCTTAACCTCTTCAAGCACAATGGAAAGCACAACCACATCGTCGATTGCTGGGTTCTCAAGCAAATCAATCTGTAAACACCACGAACATAGCTCTAAATCACTTCTTCGTTGCAGTTGGAGAACAAATTTCAATCCAAAAAAATAAACTAGATATAATCACCAACCTGATTGAGAACGACATTGGTATCGAAAATGAGAATGGTGGAAGGCGTAGGGCTCAAGCGAGCCTGGGATGTATCGCAAACTTTGCATATCGGAGCTCCGCAGTATATATCGTGTCTGAGATAGTGCTCTCTCACGACCTGAGGCGAAGCACAGCCAAAACAAAAACCCTAATTAGCTTAAACCCCTAACTGAAAACAATAGCATAAAATGAAATGTAGGGTTAGGGTTTTTGAGAGGGACAATAGATGAGAGAGACCTTGGTGATTTTGCCTCCTCTGGTTCTCTTGACGAAGGACTTGTTCTGCAACATGTTTGGTCTATGATCGTATGGCTGACGGCGTCGTTTTGGCTTAATTTGCCGCCCTCTTTTTCTTGCAATGGGAGTTGGGTTTGAGGGGGAAGGAGGTGCAGAGTGAACTGAAATTTCCACTCAAATGTAAAAACTTGCCTTCGTAGCGCGGGGACTGCCACGTGAGATTTTTACAATCGGCGGCTCTGGTTTATTTATAGCCTCCTGTTTGACCGTTGCGCTAGGGTTACGTTGAAAGTAATTTCACAATTATTTGAAAATGTGTTGACATCCTAGGTTTTTTAGGTTGAATATAAATAAATAAAAATATAAAACTTTTAAGAATTTTAAGAATTTTAAGAATTTTAAGAATTTTTTAACAGGGTGAAACACAAGGAACTCAATTTGACGGAATTGATAGCATTGACTAACGGAGCGAAACACAATGACCAAATTAGCAAAATAAAAATACATATTGGTCATTAGTATACAAAACATAGGCATTTAGCCAGTTAATAGGAAACACTACATAAAATGTTCTTTAAAATATCTATTAATGTATTTAAAGGTTTTTTTTAATTGATTGTTATAGTAAATGGTTTGTCCATTTTTTGTAACAATGAGGGAAAAGAAATCATGGATCCGTAGAAGTGCATACAAGAAATTATATGCACCTATTCCATTTTCATTTCCAATCAACTTAACTTTACATCAAGAGGATGACGTGTAAGTATATGCAGCACATCAATAATTTTCAACTACTAAATCCCTTTGCTACTACTACAACAACTACTAAAATCCACAAATGATAAAATCCTCCTATTTTTAACACTTTCATGTCTTCTTAGGTGTTGACTTTCAATTGATTAATTACATGAAAAAGTTTTGAGTCTCGTAAATATTTGCGTTGTGTGAAATTAAATACGATAAATTAGCAAAAGACTCACTAGTGTAGTGGTTCAGAGCAATTGCTCCTCCAGACAAGGTCCTGAGTTCGAGTCCTAGTATCAATGTAGTTTGTGTGAGTTTAATATATTATTGCCCATCTTAATAAGAAAAGTCAAAATATAGTAAATTAAAAATCACACGCATAAAAGTCTAGCTTTTTTTTTTTTTTTTTTTTTTTTTTTTTTTTTTTGTCATTATTATATCACAAAGCGTTCCAATGCATCATAAGACTAGAATTCCAAAGATTTATTTATTTATTTATAAGTTTAAGTATTTATTCACAACATTTTCATAGAAATTTACCGCCTTTTTTATTTTAAGTTTTAGTATTTATTTATAACTTTTTCGGACAAATTTCCAACCTTGAGTGAGTCTTGAGTCACCATGAAGCCGCTCAAGGCCCGCAGCTCGGGGACCCGTCGGCCTGGCCCAAATATAAGACGAAACGATTTAGATTTTAATTATTTATTAATTTGATCAGACACCAAGGTTGACAAAAATTCTTATGAAAACGTACGTATTTATGAAGAAGTCAAACAAATTCCATTTTTTAAATATTTTTTTTAAGGCAGAAAAAGGAAAGAAAAACCGCTGGCGAGAAAAAACAACCAGACAGGCAACAGAGTCTTACGGAGTCGGAGATCCGAAGTGTGGAGGGTCGTAAGAAGCTTCGAATCTCCGGCGCTGTCTTCTCTTCTCTTCTCTTCTCCCCCATCCCAAAACCCCTCAGCTCGTTTTCGACCACATCATCGTTTTCTCTTTCTTTTCGATTGAATCTAACAGATGAAGCACCAGAGTTCTATTTGGGCAGTCCTCCTACTCATATTGCTCATCGCCGGCTTTTTCAGCTCAAACGGCGACGTTTCGAGCTCGGAGAGCAGGGAGTTGCAGATTCTGGGTGATTATAACGTTTTGAACTCAGAGTGCAAGGCGTTGCAGCTTCTGGTTTTGCATCAGAAACCGAACGGCGACGTCTTGAACTGGGAGAGAAGGGAGTTGCAGCCTCTGGGTTCGCATCAGGATCAGCTCGAAGTCTTCTCTCGCTCTCCCAGCCGAAGACTTCATTCCCATACACCGTCAGTTTCGTTTTATTTTTATTTTTTTAATTTTGATAAATTGGTATTCAATTAAAATCTTAAATTGCATTAATTTTGATTTTGATTTGAATTTCACTTTTGTTGTTGCTGTTTTTGGGTCAATTTGAATTGGAACAGTGAGCCGACTGCATTAGTTGCTGCACTGGATGGGAGAATACATTTGGTGGAGAGCAATTCGATGAGAGTACTATGGTCGCTTTCTTCAGGGCCGCCACTTTACACCTCTTATCAGGCTCAAGACAGTACTTCTGGTTCAAAAAATAGTCGCTACTTCATCGATTGTGGTGATGACTGGAACTTGTATCTGCACAGAGGGCACTTTGGTCGAGAGGTTTTTCATAAAAATGCCATTTTGTTTGTTTGTTTATTTGTTGTTCCATTTTTTGCTTATAATTAAATTGGTGTGTGCTTGATGATGGTGTGTCGGTTTCGTTCCAAATCTAGTGATATTGGTGTATTGATTGTATAGTTTTGAGAATTATCCTGGGAATCTGTTCATTTCAGTTTGTTTTAGTTAGGGGATGGTAAAGTTGGTACCTTTTGGTAATGCAATTCAAAATTTCACTGCGTTGATAGATGGAGTCCATGCAATCTGTGAGAAATAAGGGTGCTTGAATAGGTCTTGATATACACGGAGCATCATTGCTTTTTATACATTGATCATTGATTTACATGTATTTGCAGAAACTTCCGTACACTATTGATGAATATGTCGGTAGTACACCTCACTCAGAGGATGATGGATCAATTACAGTTGGGTCTAAGAAGAACACTGTCTTTGAGGTTGATCTTTTGACAGGGGAGCTGATTCGCCCATACGCTCTACCCAATTCTCCATCCACTTTGAAGAGTAATGAAAAGCAGAGAGTTTTGTCCAATAATAATATTAGATATAATAAGGAGTTGGTCAAGCCTGGTTCGATAAACCAAAATGCTGCTCAGCAGCGACTACTTATCTCCAGGATAGATTATTCCTTGCAGTCGTTTGTTCCGTATTCAGACCAGGTCTCATGGAATATGACAGTTGGTGAAATTTGGGCTGCTTTACTTTGTCCTGATAATGAGAATCCACTTGGTGGTGCCCCTTTGAATTCAAAAAATGTGCTTGGTTCTGAAACTGGCAGTGACATTGCACCACCATTATCATGTCAATCAAAAAAGCTTATCTTCCCCCAGAGAAATCATACGCTGTTAGAATTAGTTGGACCTGGAAGAAAATTAAAGGATCAAGAGACAGACACCATGGTTCAAAAGCCTGCTTCAAGTCCAATGCTTCCTTCAAAGCCTGAGGTTGACAATAAATTTTTTGATGGATCAACAGCATTGACTCTCACTTTTTTGTTTGTCATGCTCATGGGCTTTGTTGTGTACCACTGTGCTTCTGTGGTTAAAGGGCAAGTTTGGTTGCATGATCAACGCAACAATTCTGATTCAAAAACTACACCTTCCAAGAGGAAGAAGAGTCGTAAATCAGAAAAGAATAGTGGCATTATATCATCTCAAGATGAAGAAGCTTTAACACACACTGAAAGTGATAACAAGACACGCTTGTTCCTTAATAAACTCTTTGATGGTGGTACTAATGGTCGCAGGATTGGTAAACTACTTATATCAAATAAAGAAATTTCTAAGGGTAGCAACGGTACGATTGTCCTAGAGGGAGTTTATGAAGGTCGACCTGTTGCTGTAAAACGCCTTGTATTAGCTCATCATGATGTGGCTTTTAAAGAAATTCAGAATCTTATTGCGTCTGACCGACATCCAAACATAGTACGATGGTATGGAGTCGAATATGATCAAGATTTTGTCTATATCGCTCTGGAGCGTTGTATTTGCAACTTGGATGATTTGATACAAATTTGCTCAGATTCCTCTAAAAATCCAGTAGTGGGAGAGGAAGATGCAAAACGAGTTCTGATTGGAAATGAAGTTCACTTGGAGTCAGTGAAGAATATTATGTCAGATGTTAATTTGTGGAAAACAGATGGCTTCCCGTCACCTCTATTATTGAGATTGCTGAGGTTGGTTAAAAGTTCCATTAGTTTGTATCATCTTTACCAAGGGATAATAACCATCTCTTGGTGTATATGTGGTTTTCAACAGATGACAATGGTTACTGTTATCTTAGATGCTTTGTTATCAGATTTGATTTAGGTATTTTGACCTTCTGTTTTTATCTGTGACACAGGGATGTGGTTTCTGGGCTTGTGCATTTGCATGAATTGGGAATCATTCATCGCGACTTAAAGCCTCAAAATGTTTTGTTGATTAAGCAAAGATCCTTGTGTGCAAAGCTTTCTGATATGGGCATTAGCAAGCGCCTTATTGGGGACATGTCTTCTTTGGGTCATCATGCTACTGGAAAGTGCTCTTTACTTGTCTTACAAACTTTAAATACCCTACCTTTTTTATACAACATGCAGAGTTAATGGCATCCATCATGTTGATATTGTCATCGAAACTATTATATGTTAATCTTCAAATGCTGAATTATAAGTTATAACTGTTCATTAATTATGGACAATATTTGATCACTGGATTGCAGGTTCTGGCAGTTCTGGTTGGCAAGCGCCTGAACAGCTTCTTCATGGGCGGCAAACACTTGCAGTGGATTTGTTTAGTTTAGGTTGTGTAATATTCTTTTGCATCACTGGTGGCAGACATCCATTTGGGGATCACCTTGAACGTGACATAAATATTGTGAAGAACAAAGTGGATCTCTTCTTGGTGGAGTATATTCCTGAAGCCGTGGATCTTATTTCTTGTTTGTTAAACCGTGACCCAGAGTTGAGGTAAGGATTTTAGTTTTTTCTTAATGAATAGGAAACTAGGAATAGTTTCTTGAACTCTTTTGGTTACAGAAACATTCTTAATTTGTGGTCAGGCCAAAGGCATTGGAGGTGCTGTATCATCCTCTTTTCTGGAGCTCAGAGACGAGACTTTCATTTCTTCGTGACACTAGTGACAGGGTAGAACTTGAAGATAGAGAGGCTAACTCTGGTCTTTTGAAAGCCCTAGAAAGTATTGCACCCATAGCTTTGGGTGGGAAATGGGATGAAAAGATGGAACCTGCATTTCTGACTAACATTGGTCATTACAGGCGTTATAAGTTTGACAGTGTTCGAGACTTATTGCGAGTCATTCGAAACAAATCGAATCACTTTAGAGAACTTCCAACCCAAATTCAGGTTTTTTCCTTTTCCTCTTTGACTAACAAAATACATGAAACTTGCTTAAAGCTTTCAACATGCATGAATGAGTGAAGTTAACTCTCTTCTTTTTCGGTGGCTATATCAGAAACTTGTCGGACCAGTTCCCGAAGGATTTGATTCCTACTTTGCAAGTCGGTTCCCGAGACTTCTGATTGAAGTATACAAAGTTGTGTGCACACATTGTAGAGGAGAGGAATGCTTTGAGAAGTATTTCAAAAGCAATGCAGAGGGCCTCTAATTGCTTATGATGTATGGTGAAAATTCACTGCTGTAGGTGATTTTTTTGGGCCTCAATGGTTTATATGTGTAATGTAGCTGTAAATAATAACAATGTATAGAATTCCTGTTATAATAAATCAGTCTTTATCTGGCTTCCTTGACTCCATAATTTTTTGTTTTGTTTGACAAAGACTGTTTGGTTTATGTTTGGCCCCATTGGAGTCTGTTAATGAATGAGGTAATTATAATTATCTAGGCCTAATAATTCGAGTTTTTATCAAAAATAGCCAAAATTTGACTCATATTTTCATAAATGTCAGTTTTTAAACTTTCAAATGTAGCGGAAAACTCACCAAGTAGACATAAATGCCCTCAAACTGAAAACCCACATAAACCTAAATACTGTTGTGTTGCAATGTGCATAAAATTGATTCAATTTCCAAAACTCTCACACCGTAAATTGAAAATTGCTATGAGCCTGCTCAAGGCCCGCAGCTTGGGGCTGACCTGGCCCAAATGTAAGACGCTGAGCTCGCTTAGCATGACTTGACATGTCTGAATAATTTTTTTATTCATTTATTTTTATATTTTCTATAAGAGCATCACCAATGGGGGGTGTAAATTCGAGGGTGTAAAGCCACTTTTACATCCCCTTTACACCTCCGGAGGGTGTAAATACATTTTTTGCTTCAATGGGAAAAGATGTAAATCTAAGATGTATAATTGTTTTGTTTGTCTTAATTTGTTTTTGTGTTAAATTTGTATTTTGTGTTTACTTTATAAAATTAATTTTTTTTGTATTAGGTTAATTTTAATTTTTCAAACAAATAGACCTAAAAATATTTAAATTCAGAGAAGATATGATTTCATCCAAAAGCATTGGGTCATGAAAACCACAAATGAGCAAACAACATGTGATTTTTTTTTCCAGAAATTACTGTAGCCGTGGGTCCCACTTTTTATGTTGACTTTTCACCATTTTTTCTCTCTTTTTCCCAACTAGGTCCCACCTGCAAGAGATGTAAAAATAGATATACAATTGCATCTATATTTACATCTCATGGTGGTGATGTAATTATACATCCATTTACACCCCCAATTACGGGTGATTCCGATCACAACGGGTATATATTTAACATACATTCCCTTATACACCCCCCTATTGGTGATGCTCTAAGGGATTTTTGTAGAAAGGTCACATGAACTTATACTTAAGTTTCAATTTCTCACCTTAAAGAAAAATTTAAGAGAAATGTTACCTTAAATTTTCAAAATCTAGGATTTGTCATCTGACTTTAAAGTGACATATGCTGATTTAAATCTCTGATGCAACAAGAAATTCACCTCTGTCGACGAAATGTAGTTGGGAGAGATCTAATCCGGCAAATTTCACCAGGATAGACCTGTGCCGACGAATATTCGTCGGGAGGGGTTTAACATTTATATATGTTACTAAAAAGAAAATTTCAAATAATGATACTATACTTATATATATATATTAGCCTTATTTAATTACTTTCATATGTAATTATTTTTTAATTATTTATTTCTTTAGTGAATAATTAAATATTTTAATTAACTTCATAAATTGTATTACTTAATGGATGGTAATTATTTTTATTTAATCAAATATTTAGATAATAATTAAAAAATAACTACTAAATAAAGTAATTAAAAAAGGGAAAAAGGATATAGCCGCGCAACTATACTTTTAAAATATTTCATTTATAGAATATAGCTGTTCGGCGATACTGCTAGAATATTCTATTTATAGAGTACAACCACCTAAAATTTTCTACTTTTTTTTTATTAATTAAATAATATCTTAGCCTTATTTAAATACTGTCATTAGTAATTATGTTTTAATTATTATTTCTTTAGTGAATAATTAGTATTAAATATTTTAATAAAAATCCTAGAAATTTGGTTTTGGTACCCAAATATTTTAGTATTCCAAAAATAGAATATTTTAAAGGTACAGCCGCCCGGCTATACTCTATAAATACCATAATTTGAATTTATCTTTTTTAATTACTTATGTTTTAATTATTGTTTACTTAGTGAATAATTAGTATTTAATAATAATTATTCACTAGAGAAATAATAGTTAGAACATAATTACTAATGAAAGTAATTAAATCTGGGTAAGATATTATTTAATTACTGAAAATAATTATAAAAAAAATTATTGACCTAAAGATACTAAGTTTATATTTATTTTTTTAATCCCGAAGACATTTCGTCGGCAGAGGTCTATGCCGACAAGCATTTGCCTGATTAGGTTTCTCCTGACGAAATTTTGTCGAGAGAGGTTTGTGCACTTGTGCCGACGAAATTTCATCGGGAGAGGTTGTTTTGCCTTTTATTTTTAAATTTTAAAAATACAAAATAAGTTTCTTTACTTTTGTTTTTTGGCCAACTTCTTTAATTTAATACATGTATTTAGGTAATACCTAAAGCTTTTTTAAATTACTTGAATTATTATTTCTTTAGTGAATATTTAAATATTTTATTAATTTCGTAAATTACTTGGTAAATAGTAATTAATTGCTTTGAATAATTTTGTGGACTTTATTTTTTGTTCTTTTCATATTAAATAATCATTAAAATACATGCGTACTTGTACAATACATGTATTATACATTTGCTTTCATTATAACGAGTCTTTAAGATGTATACGAAAAATGAAAGTATTATTGAAAAATACATACGTACATACGTGTATAATACGAGTATTAAATGGGGAAATGCTAAATTCTTTATACGGGTAATAACTCTGGGAAAGTAAAAAATCAAAAGGGGACAATAGCTATACCTTGGTAATGGCCTAAACGTAATGGATACTGCTCCAAACTAGTCTTATCGACTATAGGGGACTTTTTCTTCCGACAGCTGTTAGTGGACTGGGTTGCCGTGAAGGGCAGACTGATGAAATTGTCCCCTTTGTCTGAGTTCGAAAATTAAGCTCCGAAAACACTTCGAAAGGACAGCAGAACCTTAGGAAGTATTTTGGTTACCTTCACCAACCAAAATAATAGCAGCTTACAGGTAATTTCTTCATGCTTACAGATAAATTCTTAAGCTCAGCGTGAGTGGCATGTGGCATGGAAGCAAAATCAACATGAGTTTAGCACTAAGAGAAAATTTAGGCTTGCTTTGAAGGAAAAGGAAGTGTTAGGACAAGAAAGGAGAAGTTTCGTGAGAGATTTGGCTAAAAAAGAGGAAATAGAGAACATAGTTCTTCCGGCAGCTTGACAGATGCTCTGTCTGCCAGAAGAGAAGAATGTAGAAGAAAGGTGAATAGTGCACGAGGTTGCTGGGTTTTTGCAAGTCAGAGAGAGAGCTTGCTCTCCGAATCTGAGTTGTGTTTTGTTGGGTAAAAGAGGCCTCATTTTATAGCTGCTGGAAATCATCCCTTCCCAAGAAACCCTAATGGTTTCTACCCATTTTGGCTAAGCTTTTCTCCTCCTTTCTCTTCTCCTCCCTTGGTTTTTCCTATCTTAGTGAAATTTCCTCTGTCTATTGGCACAAAATCAGGAACTTTGGGAGCTTAAGGCCCCCTTTCCCGCAGCTGTTCCAGTCGGAGGGTCCATTCTTAGCTATTTTTCTTCTTCTTTCTTTTTCCTTCCTTGGCCAGATCTGATGAAGGAAAGGAAGTGGATATACATGCTGGTTCAAAGGGTGCTTCTGGCAGCTCGCCGGCTAATATTCTTTGGTTCCTTGAATGTTTCTTGCTTGGAACTTGCTCCTTCCTTCCCAGCAACCAGCGTGGTCTTCCATGCTTCTTCGTGGCTTCTGTTTTCCAGCAAAATGCTGATGGTTTTGCAGGTCTTTGTTTTATTTATGCGGGCCTTCTAGAACAATGGATTGGCTTATCAAATAAATGGGTCAACTTCACCAAGGTTTGGCTTGAGGTGTTGGGCTTTTTGGTTGAGTCAATAGGCTATTTTGGTTGGGCTATTGTCTCTTTGTGCTCACCCACATGTTTGAGCCTAAGAAATGGGCTTGGGTTCCGAGGCTCCCAAGCAACCCGGAACCTCCATTTCTCGGCTTATCAATGGGCATCATGACGACTTATTACCATCCATACCACAACCCACTCAAGAAAGCCTTAGGCATCTTGCGTGGCTTGGGCCCACTTAAGCTTGTGGCGTGCTTAGGTGCAAAATAATAATTCGTTGCTTGGCGTGGCGTGTCGCTTGGCATGGCATGTGTGCAAGCGCATATGATGAACTTCCGCGTGCCAAAATCGAGTTTCTTCTCGGTAAGGTATCGCATTGGTCCGAGAATTTATTTGGGCCAAATCGTGGATTTTTTTGGGCCTCAACATCGACAAAGGAAAATCGGGGAGAAAAAATTTTAAAAACAAAAAGGCACCCATTAGATATTTAAAGAGTATATTAAAGGTACAGTTGCCCGGCTATATTCTATAAGTACCATAATATGAATTTCCCTTTTTTAATTACTTATGTTTTAATTATTGTTTACTTAGTGAATAATTAGTATTTAATACTAATTATTCACTAGAGAAATAATAGTTAGAACATAATTACTAATGAAAGTAATTAAATCAGGCTAAGATATTATTCAATTACTGAAAATAATTTTTTATAAAAAATTATTGACCTAAAGATACTAAGTTCATATTTATTTTTTGAAGAAAACCTCTCCCAACGAAATTTTGTCAGCAGAGGTCTATGCCGACAATGATTTGCTGGATTAGGTTTCCCCCAACGAAATTTCGTCAGCAGGTATTTTCATTGGGAGAGGTCTGCACACCTATGCAGACGAAATTTCGTGAAATTTCGTCGAGAGAGGTTGTTTTGCTTTTTATTTTTAAAATTTTAAAATTTTAAAATATAACATTAGTTTCTTTACTTTTATTTTTTGGCCAACTTCTTTAATTTAATACATGTAATTGGGTAGTACCTTAGCCTTTTTTTTAATTACTTTAATTAGTAATCATGTTTTAATTATTATTTATTTAGTGAATATTTAAATATTTTACTGATTTTGTAAATTACTTGGTAAATAGTAATTAATTGTTTTGAATTATTTTGTGGACTTTGTTTTTTGTTCTTTGATATTGAATAATCCTTAAAATACGTGTGTAGTTGTACAATACGTGTATTATACCTTTGCTTTCATTATAACGAGTCTTTAAGACATATACGAAAAACGGAAGTATTATTGAAAAATACGTACGTACGTACGTGTGTAATATGAGTATTAAATGGGGAAATGCTAAATTCTTTATACGGGTAATAACTCTGGGAAAGTAAAAATCAAAAGGGGACAATAGCTATACCTTGGTAATGCCCTAAATATAATGGATATTGCTCAAGACTAGTCTTATTGACAAAGGAAAATCATGGAGAAAAAATTTAAAAAACAAAAAGGCACCCATTAGAATATTTTAAAGGTACAGCCGCCCGGCTATACTCTGTAAATACCATAATCTTGAATTTATATTTTTTTAATTACTTATGTTTTAATTATTGTTTACTTAGTGAATAATTAGTATTTAATATTAATTATTCACTAGAGAAATAATAGTTAGAACATAATTACTAATGAAAGTAATTAAATCCGGCTAAGATATTATTCAATTACTGAAAATAATTTTTTTTAAAAAAAAATTATTGACCTAAAGATACTAAGTTTATATTTATTTTTTGAAGAAAACCTCTCCCGAAGAAACTTCGTAGGCAGAGGTCTATGCCGACAAAATTTGCCAGATTAGGTCTGCCCTGATGAAATTTCGTCGGCAGAGGTATTTTCGTGGAGAGGTCTGCGCACCCGTGCCAATGAAATTTTGCCGGATTAGGTCTGCGCACCCGGATTAGGTATGCCCTGACAAAATTTGCTTGATTAGGTTTGCGCACCTGTGCCAACGAAATTTTGTGAAATTTCGTAGGCTGAGGTTGTTTTGCTTTTTATTTTAAAATTTTTAAAATTTTTAAATATAAAATTAGTTTCTTTACTTTTGTTTTTTTGGCCAACTTCTTTAATTTAATACATGTAATTAGATAATACCTTAGCCTTTTTTTTAATTACTTTAATTAGTATTTATGTTTTAATTATTATTTATTTAGTGAATATTTAAATATTTTACTGATTTCGTAAATTACTTGGTAAATAGTAATTAATTATTTTGAATTATTTGGTGGACTTTGTTTTTTGTTCTTTGATATTGAATAATCATTAAAATATGTGCGTACTTGTACGATACGTGTATTATACGTTTGCTTTCATTATAACGAGTCTTTAAGACGTATACGAAAAATGAAAGTATTATTTGAAAATATGTATATACGTACGTGTTTAATACGAGTATTAAATGGGAAAATGCTAAATTCTTTATACGGGTAATAACTCTGGGAAAATAAAAAATCAAAAAGGGACAATAGCTATACCTTAGTAATGGCCTAAATGTAATGGATACTGCTTCAGACTAGAATTTTTCAGAAGTATACCCGCACGGCTATAATTCATAAATAGAATTTTCGTAAAAGTATAGCCGTACGGCGGTGCTCTAGTATTTTTCAAAGGTACCGCTGCGCGGCTATACCCAATTAATTAGCAGTCCCAGTGACCGCATCCCACACCTGCAAAATATTGAAAAATCATAACTGACATTGAACTTGAATAGCGTGTTTTGTGAAAGAATATAACTGCGTGGCCATATTATATAAATAGAATTTTTCAAATGTGTAGCCCGGCTATACTCCATAAATAGAATTTTTCAACAGTATAGCCGCTTTTTTTTAAGTGTAGCCAGCTATACCAATTGAATACCACAATTTGAATTTCTCTTTTTTAGTTACTTTAATTAATAGTTATGTTTTAATTATTATTTAATTAGTAAATAATTAGGATTTAAATATTTTATTTTATTTTTATTCAATAATATGTGAGTACTTTTTTGTGTATTATTGAAAATTTTGTAACAAATAAGTGTATTAAACATGAAAAATATGTATGTATGTGTACAACACGAGTATTAAACGTGAAAATGCTAAATTCTTTACAAGAGTGTGTGCTTGTGATCGTGTCTGTGAACAACTTTAGAATAAAAAAAGGGATAAAACAGTCTAGACACTAACCAACCAAAGCAACTAAAATCTTTTGCTGAATTCCTCATTGCCTAATCTCGACCTTTTGCCCGGTGGGGATGCATTGTCTTCAAAACTTACACTATGGTTCCATCACTTCTCGAATTATCCTAAGTGCGGGGAAATTGCCTCACCTTCAAATGCTACTATAAAGAATTGTACTGGGTTAATTCGAGTATTCTAAAACTATAAGTACCTATCTGTAGCTTCCCCTCGATAAATAAATAAACTATGGTGAGACCAGCAGAAGGGATCACACATAGAAGAGATACACTAAAGATCCTCATTTCATTGGGAGTCATGCACATGGAAATGTCACCTTTGGGGTTGATCTGAATGCTGCTCCAGAAGTGGTGCTCAGTCCAGCACCATTCTCAATCGTAGGGGAAGTGCCCCATCTTCCTTTTTGCAAACTGATTAGGTTCAGATGGATGTGTTGCAACAACGAGAGGATACACCTTTAAGCTGTTAAGAGTATAGCCATGCGGGTATTTTTTTTTTTTTTTTTTTTTTTTTTTAATATAAATTAAATACAAAACCCGAGTACAGCCGAGCAGCTATACTATTTAGGGAAAAAAAATTACCCACGTATAGCCGTGCGGCTGTACTATTGATAAATAAATAAGGGATCCGCCTAGCGCCTAGGCGTCCGCGTGTGAAAACACGTGTAGTTAGGCGGCTATCCTATTTTTTTTTTTTAAAATGCCCAAGTATAGCCGTGCGACTATACTATTTAAGAGAAAAAAAAACAATTACCGTAGTAATGCTGCGCAGCTATACTAGTTTTAAGAAAAAGAAATACTGTAGTATAGCCAAATTAGCCATTATCAAGTGATGCTCTTTTTTTATTTTTTTTAATCAGGAAAGTGATTCTTTATCAAGAGTTATGAACTTATGGAACGCACACTGAAAATCTATATCAACAAGGATGGAAACAAGCCCATCTTCCATCAACCAATACTCAAGGGGTTATATGCTTCAGAGAGATGGTTCTTGAAACTGATGCAGGGATATAAGTGCTTTGTTGTGAAGGATCCACGAAAGGCGCATATGTTTTATATGCCATTTAGTTCACGAATGCTAGAGTACACTATATGTACGTAACTCTCACAACCGTACAACCTACGCCAATTTTGGAAGGAATATTCTGAAAAAATTGCAGCAAAGTATCCTTACTGGAACAGAACTGGTGGAGCAGATCATTTTCTTGTTGCTTGCCATGACTAGGTATGCTCTCCATGCATCTTTCCTTGTCCTTGATTTTGCTTGGGTGACTAATGTCTTCTTTGTTATTTTGATAAGATAGAAAGAGAGTAGAATGAGATTCCAAAATGGTTTTGAGATTCATGACCTAACCTTTCACTTTCAAATGAATCTTATCATATTGGCCCATGTGAATACCAAATCTAGTGAGGAGGTTGTTTAAACCGACCAAAGGACCATTTTCAAAAGTGGAACACCATATATTCTGTCCATAAATGTGTGTTTGTTTGAGCCCATAATGACTGCAATTTCCTACATGTGTGTGTGTGTGTGTCTCTTAATTTGTGCATGTATTCTTATATGGAACGTTGCATCAAAGCCCTCTGCAATGATGATCTAACTGGCGGCTTTCAAATAGGAAGGGATGTGTCTCTTCGGGAAACATATATATGTTCGTTCTGCGAGAAATCCTCTTAGAGATCTTGGAGGCAAACCCCCTTCTCAGAGGCAGATTCATGCATGGCTATTTACGTCCAATTCTGACAGAGCACTGGAAGGACAAAGACCCTGATATGAAGATCTTTGGTCCAATGCCTCCTGGTGTTGCAATCAAAATGAACTACATCCAGCATATGAAGAGAAGCAAATACTGTATTTGCCCCGAGAGTTACGAGGTCAACAGCCTACGAGTGGCTATACTATTTTCAGAAGTATAGCTGCACCGCTATAATTCATAAATAGAATTTTCATAAAAGTGTAGCCGTTCGGCGGTGCTGTAGAATTTTTCAAAGGTACAGCCGCGCGGCTATACCCAATTAATTAGCAGTCCCAGCGACCGCATCCCACACCTGCAGAATATTGAAAAATCGTAACTGACATTGAACTTGAAGCTGCACAATCACTTTAGAATTAGTTAAGCCATAGATCAAACCTTAATGACCCTATCCTAGGCCGGTCTAGGCGGCTAGGCTGGTCTAGGCGGGTCTGGGCGGCGCTAGCAGGGTCTGGGCGGCGCTAGGTGAGTCTAGGCGGGTCTGGGCGGCGCTAGGTGAGTCTAGGCGGCGCTAGGTGGGTCTAGGCGGGTTTAGGCGGCCCTAGGCGGGTCTAGGCGGCCCTAGGCGGCGCTAGGCGGGTCTGGGTGCCAGGGTGGGTTTGGTTCTTTAGGGTTTGGGGTCTGGGTGCCAGGGTGGGTTTGGTTCTTTAGGGTTTGGGGTCTGGGTGCCAGGGTGGGTCTGTCGTATTTTTTCCAGGTACGTGTTCCATTTTCTTCGTTGAAGCCGATATTTCGAGAAAGAACTGTACCAGATGCACCACCTTTTGAACCCAGCAATATTGCGTCATTGCAGGCACAGTTCTGCAGCCACTATCTTTTAGTCTATTCTTTCACTTCATTTTCTTCTATGTTTATTGATGGGATTCAAAATTATAGCAGCTCATGTTTAGCAAGTTTGAATTTGATGGGAAACTGAATCCTACTTTTGTGGAAGGGGCATTTAAGCTCCCGTTATCAAGCATACGAGCATATCTAAAAGAGCCTATTTCTCCCAGGTTTCACATTCTTTTCATTTTGTTGGATTATCTTCTTATGAGTAAACATAATTGATCTGCTATGTGCATTTTCTGTTTTAGTCTTTAAAGAATCTCTTGCTCGTGTTCCGTGTAGGTTCATACACGTAGGTTCTGCAGGAATTACCCGACCTGACAGGGCTGGACTTGATCTAAGCAAACAACCTCCTGCTGTTCGCTTGAACAAGGAATTGGATTTTATCCTGACATTCAAGTTGAAGGTTTCATACTAATTCAGTGCAAGCTGTTTGATATTTTTATATATAATCAGTGTATCAAAATAGAACTTCTGCTCTTTTCTGTTAGCTCTTTCGATTTTGTACATTGATAAGTTTTGGAGCAAGGGGAGGATTTAATACGGGAAAGTGGAATACCATATACAATTGTGAGGACTTGTGCATTAACTGAGGAGCCTGCCGGAGCAAATCTCATTTTTGACCAAGGAGACAATATAACGGTATATAATCAAATAGAAGATCACCATTCTCTCTTTGTTGTATGCCTGTGATGACATGTATTGCTCTTTCTTTCCCTTATAATAGGAATAATACCTGAATGTTATGATTTATAGTATTTATATATATATATATATGCAGGGTAAGATATCAAGAGAGGAGGTTGCTCAGATTTGTGTTGCTGCGTTGGAAAGCCCCTAAGCATCTGGCAAGACATTTGAGGTCACAGCCCGACTTATGTCCCTTAATTGTGTGCTGTGTGCTGTGGCTGTAATTTTCTATTTTTGGAAGTTAAAAGCTTTTGCAGATTCTGAGATGCTTATAAACTCATTTTCAGGTTAAAAGTGTTGTGCCATTTAGTGAGCCATTTACAGTGGACCCTCAAAATCCACCCCCTGAGAAGGACTACAATGTTTACTTTAAAACTTTGAAAGATGGAATTACAGGAAAGGAAATCCTCGAACATGATCCTGTACCAGTGTAATGTTTTACATACATAGAGTTCTAATTTCAACCTTAACGCTGTAAGTATAATGGAGCTTAATATACTTCCATTTTCATCTGAGATAATTCTCTCAGCAATGAGTCAATGACTAATGAGAAGAAAATCTGTCAACATATATATATATATATATTAATTCTCTCTCTCTCTCTCTCTCTCTCTCTCTCATTGCAGGTGTATATACTCGTAGCAGATGAAAAGCAGAGGCTTCTACAGGAACATACATAAGCTACCAAGATTATAAAGTTCTGTAGGACAAATCTACATGACTTAAAATGTTTCACCTGAGATAATAGGTTCTCACTTTCAAAAGGCTATAGCCTTGATCATGATGAGGTCCAAACCTCCTGATTATGTATAGAGGTTTGAAATTTTATTTCAATTCAGCTGTATAATTTTCTTTTCTTTTCTACGTATGAGTAGCTTATATAATGTTTTCTAATGATTTTAAAAATATACATACATAAATTATTGTACATGTGTTTGGCCTTGAATGTTAAGTTAAAGACATTGGCAGAATCATGGCTTGTAACCATTTCTGTGGTAGCGCAGCGCACATGGTTTGCAGCCTTGGCATAAAAGTGAAGATGGTGATCAATGTCACAGTTTTATATCAAATCAAGAAGGAAATTCCAATGCTGCGGCTTATAAAACTAAGAAGGGTTCATAGAGCAAGCACTTTCTGTACACTACAGGCAGATTGTAGAAGCTTACAGGAAATTGGACTATGACTAGCTATGAGGGTTATTGTAGGTCAATTTTTCATTAGGACATTAGCCATAGCAATCAAGGCTCACGACCAATAGAGCAAGTATTCCAGCATTAAGTATACAAGTTCAATGTAAACCAAGAGTAATTTGACCCAATTAGTGCGCGAGATTCATTTTGGAATGAAAAAGTGGTAAATCAAAGTGGCTGACAATAAAGAAACAGTTAAAAGTAGTGTTCTTAAAGTAAATTTTGAATCAAAGTTAAAGAAATAGAAAAACTGAGGTTTAAACATATAAAACCACAACCGATCACCACCAAAACCTTCACAAAATTATGGTATCACCCTCAACACTATGCTTGGCCTTGTTGTGTGACTCAAGTGCAGACCCGGAAACATCAACCATAACACGAACATTAAAAAAAAAAGATAAAATGGTAAAAATATTTTCAGAACTTTAACTTGCTCACCACCACCACCAGCCTTTTGTGCTCATTGCTTGGGCTAATCACCCATAGTAGCAGTCTTACCACCAGCATCCTCGTCTCCACCATCACATTGCTACAATCACATAGGCAATTTATATATGCGTGATTACCAACCAACACCTAGTCAAACTATTGAAGCTTCTCTTGCATGAAGTTCAAGGACAGAAACAGAAAGACTATATTGGTTAAAAGCAAGAGAGTCTAAACCCAACAGCTTTTGGTGAAGGCCTGAGGCAAGCAACACCTAAGTGACTAAGTAAACCGCAATTCTAGAGAAATGCAATTTAGAAAGGCATTCTCCACTTACGGATAAATGAAATGAGTTCAATGTGAATCGTCAAATGCAACCAGGGAATCAGTTTCCTTTCCTATGAAGTTGAACTATAAACTATCTGAATACTACATTGATCCGTTTTGGCTTGGCTACTTGTGATAAGTTACTTCTGTTAGTCACTAGTTCATTGCTTATAGCCGTAAAGGCACAGTGACATGCACAGATATAGACTTGCACATTCATACCTGGGAATCAGAGCCTGACGATACAAGCACATTAAGAACATGAGAAAAGGCAAGGCCTGTTATGCTTTTTTGATGACCTTTTAGCTTGGTTTTAACCTGTGAGAGGAGCAGCCGGATTGTAAGCAATCCCATATTCCAGATATCATCACAAACTGACAAATTTAAGTTCAGTGAACAGAGACCTCATCAACCCGAACATTGTAAATTTGGATGGAAGAAATATTGGTGGGTAGATTGAAAAATCTGATTCTTTTTTTTTTCCTAATTTTCAATAGGTGTGTGCAAAGTAGATGGTGGAGTAAGCATTTTGAAGGATGGTACAGAAGCACCACTGTCTTTTTAGATTGTCTTATGCATGGCACTTCAAAAGTTTCATAGGCGATGCGTATTCCGTATCTTATCTTAAATTAATCAACCAGTACGCTAGATATGTCGAATGAGAGAATGTTCAGAGGAAACAACCTACCTTAAATGTCATCATATTGAAAAGGGATATTTTCCCCCCTGAAGCATAACATATGAGTCCTTCTTTGAAAGTGCAAAGCATCGAACAGCATCTTCAGGGTTTGTATCGCTTATATCATTGGTCATCAATATTCAACTTGCAGGTTGCCACAATTGTGGTACAGTACTAGCTGTGGCCTACAAGAAACAAACATTTTAGTAAATGGCAAGCTTAAGGATACATAAAAAGTTACAAAATGCAACCATCTCTGTTAGGAATTCTAATACCTTAGTCGTGTTTCGTTCGTTTCTTTGCTGTTTCCAGAGCTTGTGTCTAGCATTAGATGATAATGCCAATACGGCAAGTCCTGAATTTGTATAAATTAATTTAGAAACCTGAAATAATTATCAATACTCAGAGCTTGACATGAAAACATGCATACTTCTCATGAAAATGTTTTAAAAGGAACAAACATCAAATGCATATAGTACAGAGATTCACCATGTAGTGTTTGTACTGAAATGTCTTAAAAGGAAATCACAAATCTTTCGGCAAGATTAATTTTGGTTTGAGTACAAGTCACATGCTCAAAAGTAACGTCACTGAACACGACATAATCAATGTACTCTAAATAAAAAGGATGAGGTTTTTCCACAACATTGCTCTTTATCCATCTACAAGGTGCATAGCATGCATGATGCACAAAGAAAAGAAAAAAAAAGAAAACATAAAATATAAACCTGAAAATTTACAGATAAATAATCCTGACTCATGTATCTCTTAATTTAATACTAGCACGAGTGGGTCAAACATCCATTTCCACAAGCAGAAAAAAAGTTCTACAGATGTTCTCAGTGTTAGAATGCTCAAGCACGTTATATAAGTATGCATATAAAGTATAAGACCAATAAGGTTTGGATAGCCCATCTTAGTGAATAATTAGTATTTAAATATTTAAATATATTTTATTTTTATTCAATAATATGTGAGTATTTTGTGAATAATATGTGAATTTTGTGTGTATTATTGAAAAATTTGTAATTAAAAAAAAAAAGTTTTAAACATGAAAAATATAAATTCTTTATACGGGTAATAACTTTGGAAAAGTAAAAACTCGAAATGGGACAATAGAGACTTGGGAAATGGCATAATAGTAATGGATAATGCTCTAAACTTCTCCTATCAATATACAAAAATCAGGGAAAAACAATTATGAAAAAAAGATCACAGTATCTATATAAAGAGTATATCAGCTCGGCTATACTATTTATGAAAAAGATTTAAACACGACCCCAGTAAGGCTGTGCGGCTATACTCTTTTCTATAAAAAAAAAATTAATTCGGCGTATAGCCGATTTATTTCTAAATTAAGAAGGACTGCCTATTTGTAAAAAAAGCGTATAGTATAGCCGCGCGGCTATACTCCGTAAATAGTATTAATTGCAGGATTGAGGTACCGAGTTAATATAATAGCTCCACTGCACTAGATGGTTGAACCTGTTAAGGAACTATGTTCAGTTTTGTTAACATATCTGTTTATTATATTATTGTATATTCCTATTGCTTGTATGTCATGCTATATACTTCAGGAATGTGGGAGCACACATTGCCTAGCTCATTTGTCTATATGCTTATTCCAGGTATAGAAAATTTATTTTTCCCTTTGGACTTTGTTTTTCTCCCCTAAATAGTTCATATATCAATGTCATATGACCTATGATACCTTCAATAAATTTCAAAACAAAGCTGCAAACTTCTCTTTGTTGTCTCGTTAGACTGTTTTGTATCCAATTTTTCTTCTAGAAAGCAAATTCCTATACAAGCAATTTTATACTATGAAATTCAACATCCTTTGATCCACAAAATGTTGAGGGATTTTGTTGTTGTTGTTGTTGTTGTATTTATAGGTTTAACGTGTATTATTTGTTATAAATAAAATTCATTTTTTATTCTTGCCCAATGGGCTAATAGCTGGAAATCGTTAGAATGGGAGGTATAAGAAATAATTTAAATTCTCATTCCCTATAATATCGCATGTCTAAATAAAATAATTGAAGAAATAACTCTAGCCCCGTGCAGCTTTAATTTCTAAATACATTTGGATATTTTAAAAGTATAGCCGTTTAATATATTCGAATATTTTAAGGGTATAGCCGATCGGCTATACGCTTTGAATGCATTTGAAACAAACACGAAGGCTTGCACTCGCATAGGACGGAGCTTGCAGACGCAGTCAAGTTTCGGCTGCTTCGTCCTCCTTGTTCGGCACCGGAAAATGACCCAACCCTCCTAGGAGGCCCGCCCAGCCTCCTACCTCCCGCCTAGCCGCCTAGCGCCCGCCTAGCCGCCTTGCGCCCGCCTAGCCGTCCGCCTAGCCCCATTTTTTGAACACTGCGATTGACTGAAAGTCTGCAACCCGAAATTGAAAAAGTTTACCTGCAAATTTGAGCTTGAGATTGAGATTTGGAAGCCGAAGCAAGCACAAGTCATGGGAACCCTAAATACAAAATTTGCTGACTTGGTGTCTGTCTTCGGTGGAAGGAAATGATGAAGCTATCCTATCATGGAGTTTCTGTGGTCTTGCCGATAACAAGGTTCGGTTTTTAGGCCCCAATCTCAAATTCTGACTATTTATTTCTGGTTTGGTTAAGCAATAGATTGATTGGTTTGGTTCTTCTTGCTTGAAACTTGATAAATCTTTATGCATTCAATATTCATCCATTGATGGTTCTACTTGGTTGGACTGCTTTTCATTCTTTGGATATTATATTGCATTTCTGTTATAGATTTTGACATTTGATCATGCCCTCTTGTTTGCTGATAGAAAAAAAAAGAAAAAAAGAAGAAGAAAGATTTGTCTCCTCCTCCTCTTGCGTAGGAACACAAAACCAACCCACGAAAGAACATAAAATAAATAAATAAAAATTACACCACCTTAGTCCTGACCCAAATGACATGTGGAAACTCTCAAGCTAACTGTAGGGAGAACTGTATTTGATTTTACCTTAAAGACTGATCCGAAACCACCTTCTCCAAGTTTATTGTTGTTTGAAAAGTTTTTGGTTGCACAAACAACAGCGGCCAAGTCAAATAATGGTAATTCCAGATCTTCCTTTTGGCCGGGCTTCAGTTCTCCTGTGAAGTACGTAGTGAAGTAAATAATGTAGCATGGAACCTTAGCTTAGAAACCAGAAAGGCAACAGCAAAATTTTTCTATAGAACTGAACCTACCTATCTTAGAAGATGGAGGGGCAGAAGAGTAGAAAATCAAATAGCTTACCATATATTTGTTGCTGGTTCTTCCTCACATATAATAGCAGGGTTAGGCCCAGGATCAGCAGTCCAGTAGACAACACAGTACTGGTTACTATGATCTTTGTATTGTGTCCTCGATCTAGGACTAGGAATGAAGTATTTGAAAGCAGAAGATTGAGGAGTCAGAAATTCATAAAGAAGACATAAAGAAGAAATCTAGGCCTGGATTTCTTATATTTGTGTAGTTCGAACAAAATAAATATAAAAAAAGTCTTTGAGAGGAGTTCAATGTTCACTTCATCACATTTTTGCAATGGAAGATGTTGGTTTAGTTGAGGCTCATGTAATCTCTCTTAATATCAAAAACAAAAAAACAAATCCATGTTTTTACACTTGGTCGCTCCTGGCTCTGATTGTTTCCCTCCTTGGCTGATCCCACATGAAAAAAAGCCTACATGACCTCAATCAAAACTAACATTACTATATTCACCCAAAGATATCAATCAGGAAATAAAAGATGGGAATCGCAGGCCATATAAGTTGAACCTTTGAATATCAGCACTATGTGCCAGTTTGGTACTGCACTGCCTTCAAAGCTATCATATAACCATATTTTGATCTTGCCATCCACTGATGTTGAAAAGACAACTGAGGCATCAAGCATGAAAAAAAGTGTTGGATAATATATTGCAGGAACTGGAAAGTAAATCAGATGATTCAAAACAAAAACATCACCAGAACCACAACATCAATACCCAAAGTGGCCCTTACATGGACATTTTCTTTGGTATGAGCACAGACAGAATAGACAGGAGCTTCATGACCTTCAAAAGTAAACAGTCTTTGGCTACAAAATATATCCCAAACCTTAAACATACATTAATGAAACCAACCTTGACGGTCTTGTCATCAGCACAAGTTATGACCAAAAGTTGGTCGTGAGGGGAAAAGAATGCCAAAATCATTTACACTTCCTAAGTGAGCATCAATCTACGTAAGAAAAATGATGGGTTGGGTTTATAGTCACATACTCAAAAGTTGCAGTTTCCTTTTGAATTTGTGTTCTTCTTCATAACTTACTTCCAATTGTTGTTGCCTCCAGTATAAGAATATAATTGCACAATGCGCTTTGCATATGCAACCCCTGTTGAATGAAGAACACGACGGCAGTGAATATGAACTACAAGAAATGAAAATCAGCAACTCCATACCATTTAAGTACGAGAACATTCTCACCAAATATAGAACCATCAGGACTCTGTCAGATACAAATTAACAGATACATATGAATCCTTGACCAGAGCTTCCTGAAATAATTGACATTGGTTCAAATTTCGGATCATATCAGTAAGGTTGAGAGAGTAGTACGTAATCCAGAAGCAGATGCACCTTTAAGGCCATCGGGCCTGCATCAAGGTTCAAGACTCTAAAATTTCTTGAAAGCAACTTTTTCCCTGAACTAACATCCCATAGTCCTATGTCTCCAACACCCCCAGGTTCCAACTGAAGAATCACATTAGCAGGATTCATGAGTGTATCAAAACTAGTTACCGCACACGATCATCCTAAAAAGACAGGAAATTTATAAATGATGGGAGGAAAAAAGAAGGAAAAAAAGAAAATAGTTTCTCATTACTTAACATAGAAGAAGAGTCTGCCAAGTGGGATGAAAATCCATGCTCATTGGAGATGAGCCCTCATTTAGTGTCAGGGCAAAAGTAGTGGGCAAAACATTGGGTATGGCAACTGTGGACAAGTGACTTTGGCCAGGATCAGTGACAGTTGATTTTACCTAAACAAATGAAAGAAAACCAAGGTCAAGATACACAAGTTCTATAATTATGTAATTCTGTACATAAAATTGATTCAGATTACCTCATCCAAAATCAGAAAGAACATTTTTTTGGACAAGCATGGATAGTCAATAACCTCTATAGCTGTAGCCACAAAAATTTAATCAAAAGTTAATAATAACAACTATGCAATGTGTAAAATGACGACACATTTCAAACATAAGTTAGAGGGTACCAGTACCCAACAACATCACTTGAAGAACTAAAATAAAATACCTGGGCTCTTTGCAGCATTGAGAGATACTGCTCCCGGAGAGCGCATCTTGTGTTACAGATAAATTTTTGGCTCAGCAGAAGAAGTTGGAAGTGGATTTGATGTTGCTTGTGAAGGCTAAATACAGAAGGTTAGAGCAATCTTAGAAGAAACCAGAAAGACTAAACAAAATCTTGTTTAAAAATAGAAAAAGAAAATCAGCTTGTATGGCTGATGAGCAGGAAACATTGGTTAATGAGGACCAATACGAAAAGAATTTCAGTTTACCAGAACATATCTTACTTGCAAACTGTTCCCAGTCGATAGAGACAAAGACAAACAGTCCTGCCATTCAAAAACACGATCAATGAAAAGGGTTTTAATAACTGGATTTGGACAAAAATCAGTGAGTGTAGACACCGAGCAGGACATTGGTTAATGAGGACAAATACTTAGGAAAAATAAATTTATGTCACCATAACATATCTTACTTCCAAATTGTTTTCAATTGGTTGAGGCAAAGGAACATTTTCACGTGGTTCACAAACATGATCAATGAAAAGAGTCTTAATAACTGGATTTGGACGAGGGTCTTTACACTGTTAATGCTGCCAATTCAAGCTGTCAAGTTAAACACACAAGTCAGTGTCTCTCCCAATTACAAAAAACTGAAAGTGACTAAATCTTTTACTAAATATGAGAATAACAAGTACTCTCTCTCTCACACAAACGCGCACAGGCATATGTATGAACATATGCAATCACAAAATAGAAAGGAAGACCAAAACTAGAGAGGAAGCATTACCTTTGGTTAATGAGTCTATGTAATCTCTGACTTTTGATGCTAGGATACTTCAGTTTGCCACGGAAAACTGGATTTGCCTCAATTATTTGCCTGAGTTCTTTCATCATATTCTTCCTCATAAACATTATATCTCCACACATAGAGAGTGCCTTATGATCCCTGTTGGATTGAACCCATACACATGTGATGCATTTCTTTGAACAGCTCCTGATTACCTTTGGCAAAAATTTTGAGATCCTTCATGAGGATATCTAATGCCTTGGCGCGACAATTGCTATCAAGAATGAACCAAAAACATGCAGAACATGGGATTTTTTTAGAGATTGTTTATGTATGGATTATAAGAAGCCTAAAAAAAAATGATGTTCTCACTTGTCAATGGCCTCAAGGAAATTTTGCTTTCTGATCTGGAAATAGATCTTCGTCGAGTAGCGATTGTTATTTATATTTCATAATGATATATTGGAGACATCAATATTGACATATTGACATATTGACATATAGACCCCAAGAGACGTTTTGACCTCAAGGATACCGTTTAAATATATTTTTTCAGGAGTATAGCCGAGCGGCTATACTATTTATAAAATAAATTGGCTTACACCCTTCAAATTCAATTTGCCATACCTAAAACCCTTCACTTTTTGTTCCTATAAATAATACCCAATTTGTATAAGTAAAAACCCATGACTATGATCCAACTCAGCAAGTTATCTAATTAAGCATAAAATATGATTTATTGTACTTTTCAGATTCCAAAAATACCCCCAACTAAGCCATTATTGCATTTTGTATATTAATGTAAGAATCAATATGGAAACAGTTTTTAATTGGATTGTATATAATGACAGATGTTGAATTTGGAAAGATCTCCAAATGGTTGTAATGGATGTAGGAATTAATTTTGGAACATTTTAAAAAGAAATTAACAATAAATTCAAATTTGGGTAATCGGTTTGTTTAAAAAAATGTTTATGTTATTTTCTTTTTATGAATTATACATGACTAATAATCCACTTTATAATTGTTTATGAATAAAACTGTACATACTAATTATGTTGAAAAAATAATGTACCTATTTGTTTTATGAAAAATATAATTTACCTAGGATGAAAAGTGTACATAATTATCTATTCCTATATACCTACATTAATTTTAATGTACTTACAATTAGGATTTAGGTATTATATGTCATCCAATGTACCTACCATTTGAATAATATACCTACTACGAATAAAGTACCTATTATTTATCTAAATAATGTACCTATTTTTTTCTATAAATAATATAGCCTTTTTTCTCTGAATAAAGTACCTATTATTTGTTTTATTAAACGTAATTTTTTTAAATGAACCTATTTTCTCTCTCCAAATAACTTACCAATTTTTTTCCTCTAATAATGTACCTATCTTTCCTCTCCAAATAATGTACCTATATTTTATATAAATTATTGTGTACCTATTTTTAATTATGAAAAATATACGCAATTACAAAGTAACTGACTTTTTGGGTAAATAATATACCTATATTTTATATGTATATGTATATATTATATTTTTCATAGGTACATTATTGGATATGTAATTTACTGATTTTTTTTTTTGTTTGCAATTTTAGGGGGACGAGATGTGAGAGGGAATGACAACTAAAAGAAATGGGGTGATTGATATGCTATTAATAGGGAGTATATTAATTACAATTATGGCAGTTAATGAAATGCTTGAAATAAATTATAATTAAAATATGAAGTTTAGTGGCAACGATGTAAAAACATAGAAATACTACGACTTCTTATATCCTACTGGTCATTTAAATTTGAAATTGGGTTTTACACATAGATTTATAGAGTGATGGGTATATGTTTAGGAAATAGAAAATGTAGGGATCTATATTGGACAAGCCCAATAAAATAATAAGGACCCGCCTAGCCCGCCTAGGCGGCCAATTTTTGGAAAACTTGGATGGCGTTTTTTTTTCTATAGATTTCTTTTTTCCTAGCGGGTCTGACATCTCTGCAAATACATCATTTTTGCTACTCTCGTTTATCAACAACGTAAAGGCATCTCTGAAAATCAGCAACGTTCCACGCCTGAAACCTTGGAAATTGGCAGAGGTGGGGTTGGCCCGTTCGTAACTAGTGTCTGGTGGGGGAAAGGGATTGGGTGAATATGGTGTTGTTTAATTAATGTTGTCTATGCCACAATGCAGGCTGCATCCCTCAAAGAAAAGATTAACCGAAAGTTTGGTGGGGAGCATGGCCCATAAAGAGTGGCAGTACTCCGTTTCTGAAAAAATATTTGTGGCATACATAATTCTTTTGATATTTGCAGTTGTGGTAGTTTTGAAGACCTTTACAACAGCTGAAACTATGTTGAATGTTCGAACCCTTAGGGAATGGATTTCATCTTCTCTTGGGTCAGTGCACTGCTAGCACTTCTTCAAGTATATGAACACGCTGCTTCAGTTCAGGATTTGCTTAATAATCTTTGGGTTAATTTAAACAAACGTGAATGAGCTTGGGAGTGGGCGGAATGAATCATATTTGGAATAGCTTAGTAATTTTATAATTGAATAATTTAGTCCTCAAGATGGTATGACGGAGTGAAGGTTTATTATGTCTTTGTAGTTAATCATTGATTTTGCCAGATAAAATTTAGTCCTCTTTCTCATCATTGAGTGTGACAATTTCAGGCCTGATGCAGTTGCAAAGCATATGGAATGGTAGCAGTCAGCACTAATCTTACAGTATGGCAATTTCCTTTGTTCTCTTGCCTTTAGTTGATTAAACGTTCAGATTATCACTAAATTTAATTAACAATTTTATTTATGTGCTTTTTTCTTTTCGATTTTGATGGTGATGCTATTTATTGAGTTCATCAGGACGAAGGTCCTAAAGATATCCTTGTTATTTCTATTTCATATTGAGTTGATGGTGATGCTATTTGATGTTTAACTCAAGTAAATATGCATTTCATGAACACTCATAGGGTTCCTCCTGCTTGTAGATTGCTACTAATAATGGATACCCTTTGATTTCTTATATTTAGTTGCAGATCAGATCATGTATTGTTTGTCTTTAATTTTTGTTAGAGATTCAATCCCACACGAGCCCAAACATAACTAGTGATCCCGATCAATCGTCCCGACCCTTTTCTTCTTTGTCAAAGAGAGATTGGTGAGTTTTGGCTCAAGTGACCAGGTTGAAATGTGATCAAGATCATCTGGACTCAATCTCTACCCATCATAATTGTGTAATTATCCTGTCAATATATTCATACAAAAAAGTGGCTCTTGGTGAGAGGTGGCAAAATGAAATAAAAGTTGCACTCCATCCTTGACAGAGTTTGGGGTATGGATCTTAGAATTTAAGTGCACACCATTCTTGACAGAGTTGATGTGTTAGGATATTGAGCTTAGATTTTAAGTTTTAATTCTCAAGTTTTTGGCCATGTTCCAAAACTAGATAGTGAACCTAACACTACTACATTTTACACTTTGCGCGACGAAGAGAATTTCGTTGCGCAAAATACATTGTAGTCGCACAAATTTCAGCGCGTAGAAACCGTCGCGCAAAGATCGTGAAGAAAGACTTTGCGTGGTGAAGTTTTTTCATTGGTCACGCAAAGTGACTTTGTGCGACGAAAAAATATTGGTCGCTCAAAACTTTGCGCGACTTTGCGCGACAAAATACATTGGTTGCTCAAAGTTTTGCGCGACAAAAAACTTTGGTCGCGCAAAGTCTTAAAAAAATTTATAAAATAAAATAAAATTCCCACGTCCCATTTTTGGTACCCGGCCAAATTTTTAGAGTTTTGCTCGACGAATACTAACATCGCACAAATATTTGCGCGACGAAATATTTTGTCGCGCAAGGTTTTTGACTTTTTGTTTTATTATTTCTTTAATATTAATTTAATTATATTAATTTTTTTGAATTTTTACTTTTTAAATTTAATTTAATTGTATGATTTTTTTTCATTACTTTAATTTAAATTGATATTAATTTAATTATATTAATTTTTTCGAATTTTTACTTTTTAAATTTAATTTAATTGTATGATTTTTTAAAACTACTTTAATTTAAATTGACATATTCAAAATAAAATTACATATGAAAAATAGTGATCAAATTATCCAATATATATATATAATATTCGAAATGTACACATAATTTAACAAAGTACAATAATAAAATCCTAATACAAGCGTATTGTGGTGGTTGTGGCGAAGGATATGTTTTGATAGCTTCCTAATCCTCAACTTTAGTCGTCAAAGTCTTGATGATTCCCTACAAAAAAAAAATTGTCAAATAACAACAAAAAAAAGAAGGCATAATCTCCCCTAAAATTGTTATACCACAAATCCAACCCAAACTCCAATCCCTCCCCTTTACTCAACCCCAAACCCCACACAAACGATCAAAACTAACTCCAAAAACACATATTAATGAAAAAAATTTAAAATTTGAAGAGAATATACCTTTTGGCAAGATTGAGAGTGAGTGAGAATGAGAGAGAGAAGTGAGTGTGAGAGAATTAGAGAAGATAGTGATAGAGAGATGAGAGAGTGAGTGAGAGTGAGAGATAGTGAAGAGAGAGATGAGATGATGAGAGATTAAGTGAGAGGAGTGAGTGTGAGAGAAAGGGTGGGATTTGGGGAGAGGGAAAGAGAGAGGAGAGGTAAGAGTAGAGAAAGACATTGAGAAAATGGTGGAGGAGTTATTTTGGTTTTAAAAACCGTATCACTTTGCGCGATGAACAATATTGTTTGTCGCGCAAAGAAAAAAAAAAAAAAAAAAAAAAAAAAAAACCGTCCCGTCCCATTTTTGGTACCCGCCCAAATTTTTAAATTTTTGCGTGATGAAAAATACATATTGGTCGCACGAAGTCTAAAAAAATTCCCACGTCCCATTTTTGGTACCCGCCCAAATTTTTGCGCAACGAAAAATATATATTGGTCGTGCAAAGTTTTGAGCGACACAAAATATTGGTCGCACAAAGTCTAAATTTTTTTTTAAAAAAATCCCACGTCTCATTTTTGGTACATGCCCAAATTTTTGGAGTTTTGCGCGACGAATTGTTGGTCGCGCAAACTTTTGAGAGATGAAAAATTGGTTCGTAGCACAAAATAATTGTTATGAATAATAAAAAATAAAATTATTTTATTTTACGATTTAAAATATAAATAAGGTTAAGCCTACTTAATAAATGTATATTCTATTCAATTTCTTAAGTGTTATACGTACAAAATAAATAAATTTAAAGCTACTTAAAAAATAAATAAATAAATAAATAAATATATATATATATATACACACCATTAAATGATCCAACCGTCAGACTTGTTTGTTTATACTTCAAGATCGTATACCCCAAAAATCGCAAAAAACAAACATTCAGAGATCTAGTAACGGGTCAAAACTTTTCTATGGTTATAAATGAAAAATCACGATTTAACGGTTATTTTAACTTCGATTTTGATGATTTTTTAACAGCTACACTCCTTGACCCTATAAGAATACAATGACTGAATTTGATCTTCAATTTAAAATATTTACACTAGTGTATACCACAAAATCTTATGTTATATTTAACGAAAGTATAAATAAACTCTTAATTGTTAGTGAATATATTGTTTTGATGGCATACGCATTCGACGAAACTAGTTTCAACAATCCAACCATCAAACTTGTTTGTTTATACTTCGAGATCATATACGCCAAAAATCGAAAAAAATAAACATTTAGAGATCAAGTAACGGGACAAAATTTTTCGACGGTTATAAATGAAAAATCATGATTTAACGGTTATTTTAACTCCGATTTTGATGATTTTTTACGGCTACACTCCTTGACCCTATATGAATACAATGACTGAATTTGATCTTCAATTTAAAATATTTACACTAGTGGATACCACAAAATCTTATGTTATATTTAACGAAAGTGTAAATAAACTCTTAATTGTTAGTGAATATATTGTTTTGATGGCATAGCAAATTCCTCTCTTTACTTTAATTAGTAGTTATGTTAAGAGTACAGCCGCACGGCTATACTCTTTAAATAGAAACGAATAGCCGCGCGGCTATACTCTTAAAATATTATTATTTTTAAATATCCTTTTTTTATTAATTAAATAATATCTTAGCCTTATTTAAATACTTTCATTAGTTATTATGTTTTAATTATTATCTCTTTACTGAATAATTAGTATTAAATATTTTAATAAAAATCCTAGAAATTTGGTTTTGGTACGCCAAATATTTTAGTATTCCAAAAATGGATTTTAGCCTTGAAACTTAAATCCAAGTAACAATGTGATTCGATAATATTAACTACTTGTTGGAATACATGAACTTCAGTCCCACATTGGAAAAAATGAGAAAGCATCTACTCCTTAGTAGGCTTATGGTTAGGGTTCGAGGCCTGAGAAAGGTTTTGGTACAAGTTCGGAAGCTAGGATTTTTGGTTCGAGACTTGGATTTATCCAAACTAATTTTGAATAAGATTTTTTTTTAAAGTTCACAAAATAATTTAAAATAATTAATTACTATTTATTAAGAAATTTATGAAATGAGTAAAATATTTAAATATTCACTAGAGAAATAATAATTAATGAAAGTAATTAAAAAAGGCTAAAATATTACTTAATTACATATATTGAACTAAAGAAATTGGCAACAAAAAAAAAAAAAAAAAAAAAAGAATAATTTATATGTTTAAAATTCAAAGTTTTTTAATTTTTTTTTACAAAAAAGCAAAAAAACCTCTGCCGACGAAATTTGCCGAATTAGACCTCTCCCGACGAAACCTACCTCTGCCGACAAACTTTCGTCGGAAGAGATCCAATCGGACAAATTTCGCTGGGAGAGGTTTAAAAAATCAGCTTACGCAGCCTGGGCGGGTCAGGGCGGCGCTAGGAGGGTCTGGGCTACACTAGGCGGGTCTAGGCAGGTTTAGGCAGCGCTAGGCGGGTCTAGGCAGGTCTAGTCGGCGCTAGGCGGGTCTAGGCGGGTCTAGGCGGCGCTAGGCGGTTCTAGGCGGCGCTGGGCGGGTCTGGGTGCCAGGGCGGGTCTGGTTCGTTAGGGTTTAGGGTCTGGGTGCCAGGGTGGGTTTGTCGCATTTTTTCCAGGTACGTGTGCCATTTTCTTCTTTGAAGCCGATATTTCTAGCAAGAATATCAGATGCACCACCTTTTGACCCGAGCAATATTATGTCATTGCAGGCACATTTCTGCAGCCGCTTTCTGTTTTCTTTCACTTCATTTTCTTCAATGTTTACTGATGGGATTCAAAATTATGGCAGCTCAGTTTAAACTTCCTTGGAAATGGGGTCTGCAGATTTTTGTTCCTTCTCTTCTTCCCTCTATAAATTAAATTGGCTTTGCTTCTGCTGAGCCACAGGCTGTTTCCGGGTTCTGCAGATTGTCCTCCTTTGATTGTAAGTTGCTATCTGATATCTTTATTACGTTTTGTTTTGATGATGAGTTACTTAAGTTCAGTATGTTGAAAGAATGGGGTTGATTTGTTGTGTTTTTCTCATCATATGATTGATTTACTCATCTGGGTTCTTATTGTTATATACTGATTGTGTCAAAGTTTCGTCCTTTTAAGTTGTCTTGTAGTATCACCTTAATAGTTTTGTTGCATAATTCAGGATTCGAAGAATTAATGGGTGATGTCTATATTGAAAATGAAATATCTGAAATGCCTCTCGCAGTGAGTACTTTTCAACTTTACGATTGTGCATTATTTCAAATTATCTCTACTTTTTCTGTATGTTTGTTGTATCTCCTCTCTATTATAACTTTCTTATTCTTGATCAAGATTAGCTAAGAAATTATAATTAGCTTATCGATTTTCTTATTTCTTTTTTATGTTATCCCACATAAGGAATGAGGTTATGGGGGTTTGAAGTTTCAATTTGGCATCTTTAGTTTTGTCAGTTTGATTCAGACCTTGTGCTTAAAGATATCCAATATAGGTCCTTGTATCAGGCCTGTAATGATACTGTGTGGAACACAAAGTCTTCTTTTTGATAGTCTGGGATTCTACTCATCAATGGATGACATTTTCACCCGTCTATTGACCTGCTAGTTATATAAGTCGTCGATTTATTCAATTTATAGGTGAGTTCTTTCTACTATTCTTACATGTATGCACACTCATGCATCTTCTTATAATGCTATGGATGGATTTGGAAATGATGTTATTGCAGAGGATCTTGGGGTCAGAGATGCTGATAGATACTCAGATGATTTGCTGGTCATTTCTGCGGGACAGCATTTAAGATCATTGAGACACGGCATTTGTAAATCATTTTCTGAAGGTTGTTCATCATCTTCAAAACCTTGTAACCCTGAAACCTGTGAAAGAAGAGCCTCAGAGCCTATGGAAGATACAAGATCTGAAATTGTAGAAACCAATTTCAATTATACAGATCCCCTTCATTTTTAAAGGGTAGTGCTATTAGCTTTCTTCAATATCAATCTTTGAAGACTTGATTATGCATTAAAAAACTGAGGTCAGGCAGTTAATCTAGTTTTCATGAGAAAACATCATGAGCCCATCTACTTTTAAGTGAACTGAATGATTAATTGTAATATTGAACCTTTTTCACCTCCTTCCCTTTCTAATTACAAGTGTTTATCAGAAGTATAACTTACTGTAACTGTTTTTCATTTCTCAAATCACAATCTAGTCATCTCCATTGTTAGATTGGTGATGTTGCTTCATCTTGATGTAGGTTGACACTACCATTACACGGTTTACAATTTGCTCGGAGATTGGCAATTTCTTGGAGAAGTTCTGTCATGTACGTTAGATGTGCTCATCTTCGAATTTGTAGGTAAAAGAAGTTTATTTCAATTATGCAAACTGATGGACTCGTATTCCATAGAGTCTCTGAATAGTTTCTTTTAGTTTTAGTTCAGATTGGATTCTGTTTTACTCAGTGCAAATAATTCATTGCTTTTAATTACAAGTCATTGTTTCATTCTTTTAGGTTCTCATAGTTGAGCTTCATTTTTGCATTTGTCGGCCTGGCATCTTGAGTACAGAAAACATTGCAAGGTTCATCTGACGATATTGGATGGTTGCCGCGCACTCCTGGCATGCCCGGTGTGGAGGATGGTACAGCAAGATTCTTGGAGATGCTTGCAGGAATAAGGTACCAAGCTAATATAATAGCTCCACTGCACTAGATGGTTGGCCCTGTTAAGGAACTGTGTTCAATTTGTTATCATATCTGTTTAGTCTATTCTTGTATATTCCTATTGCTTGTATGTCATGCTATATACTTCAGGAATGGGGAGCACACATTGCCTGGCTCATTTGTCTATCTGCTTATTCCGGGTAAAGAAAATTTATTTTTCCCTTTGGACTTTGTTCTTCTCCCCTGTTCAATCCACATTTAGCGTTGTGGCACCTATAGTTATGGGAACTTTGATTTTCCAGGCCTCCATAGCAATCACGGCCCGTATACTTTGTTGGAACACAGAAATTCTTTTCGAAGATGGGTCTAGCTTGCCATATTGCAAAAATTCACAGTGAGGTAATGAGTCATTACTCTGTGATCATTGCTGACTGAGTTTTGTGAAATTTGTCTTCCCTTTTCATATGTTTTCTTGGATGAAGGCATCTGTTGAGCACAATGCATGGGAACTCAAGCAATACACTGAGGAGCTTTACTGGGGATCCGGTAAGCGTGTGATGCTGCTGGGGCACAGCAAGGGCAGCGTTGATGCTGCAGCTGCATTGTCAATCTACTGGTGTGATTTGAAAGACAAAGTTGCTAATTTAGCACTGGTACAGAGCCCCTATGGTGGCACACCCTTGGCTTCTGATATTCTTCGCGAGGCCAGATTGCGGACAAAGAAACCCGCAGGATCATGAAGCTTTTGATATGCAAGCTAATTAAGGTAATAGCACCAATACCTGAGCTTGTTGAAAGTCCCTTTGTGTATATACTTAACAAGTGGAGAATTACAAGTTGTGTTTGGAAACATCTCAATTCATATTTGCATTGTAGGGTGACATTCGGGCACTGGAGGATCTTACTTATGAGAAGCGAAAGGAGTTCATCATGAAGCACAAGCTGCCATATGAGCAAATTCCTCTGGTTTCCTTCCACTCTAAGGCAAGTGTAGCCCCCTGTATAGAGTATAGCCGCGCGGCTACACTATTTATTAAATAAAAAATAAAAAAAGACCCCCGTAAATAATTCGGAGTATTACCGGACGGCTATACTATTTATTTTTTTTTAAAAGGACCCGCCTAGCGCTTAGCGCATGTTTTGTGAAAGCGTATAGCTGCGCGGCCATACTATATAAATAGAATTTTTCAAATGTATTGTCGTCCGGCTATACTCCATAAATAGAATTTTTCAACGGTACAGCCGCTTTTTTTTAAGTGTAGCCGTTCGGCTGTACCCATGATTACCATAATCTGAATTTCTCTTTTTCAGTTACTTTAATTAATAGTTATGTTTTAATTACTATTTAATCAGTAAATAATTAGGATTTCAATATTTTATTTTATTTTATTTTATTTTTATTCAATAATATTTACCGTAGTAACGCCGTGCGGCTATACTATTTTTAAGAAAACGAAATACCGTAGTATAGCTAAATTAGCCATTATCAAGTGATGCTCTTTTTTTAATTTTTTATCAGGAAAGTTATTCTTTATCAGGAGTTATGAACTTATGGAACGCACACTGAAAATCTATATCGACGGACAAGGATGGAAACAAGCCCATCTTCCATCAACCAATACTCAAGGGGTTATATGCTTCAGAGGGATGGTTCTTGAAACTGATGCAAGGATATAAGCGCTTTGTTGTGAAGGATCCACAAAAGGCGCATCTATTTTATATGCCATTTAGTTCACGGATGCTAGAGTACACTCTATATGTACGTAACTCTCACAACCGTACAAACCTAAACCAATTTTTGAAGGAATATTCTGAAAAAATTGCAGCAAAGTATCCTTATTGGAACAGAACTGGTGGAGCAGATCATTTTCTTGTTGCTTGCCATGACTGGGTATGCTCTCCATGCATCTTTCCTTGTCCTTGATTTTGCTTGGGTGACTAATGTCTTCTTTGTTATTTTGATAAGATACAAAGAGAGTAGAATGAGATTCCAAAATGGTTTTGAGATTCATGACCTAAGCTTTCACTTTCAAATGAATCTTATCATATTGGCCCATGGGAATACCAAATCTAGTGAGGAGGTTGTTTAAACCGACCCAAGGACCATTTTCAAAAGTGGAACACCATATATTCTGTCCATAAATGTGTGTTTGTTTGAGCCCATAATGACTGCAATTTCCTACATGTGTGTGTGTGTGTGTGTGTGTGTGTGTGTGTCTTTCTTTGTCCATGTATTCTTAATAAGAAAGGTTGGCTTTTATAGGCTCCATATGAAACAAGGCACCATATGGAACATTGCATCAAAGCCCTCTGCAATGATGATCTAACTGGCGGCTTTCAAATAGGAAGGGATGTGTCTCTTCGGGAAACATATGTTCGTTCTGCGAGAAATCCTCTTAGAGATCTTGGAGGCAAACCCCCTTCTCAGAGGCAGATTCATGCATGGCTATTTACGTCCAATTCTGATAGAGCACTGGAAGGACAAAAGCCCTGATATGAAGATCTTTGGTCCAACGCCTCCTGGTGTTGCAATCAAAATGAACTACATCCAGCATATGAAGAGAAGCAAATACTGTATTTGCCCCAAGAGTTACGAGGTCAGCAGCCCACGAGTGGCTATACTATTTATAAAAGGAAAAAAAACAGGGTAATAGAATTTTGGGAAATATGCTGGTATAATCACAACTCAGAAACATTTTTTTTTTTTTTTTTTTTTTTTTTTTTTTTTTTTTTTTTTTTTTTTTTTTTTTTTTTTTTTTTTTTTTTTTTTTTTTTTTTTTTTTTTTTTTTTTTTTTTTTTTTTTTTTTTTTTTTTTTTTTTTTTTTTTTTTTTTTTTTTTTTTTTTTTTTTTTTTTTTTTTTTTTTTTTTTTTTTTTTTTTTTTTTTTTTTTTTTTTTTTTTTTTTTTTTTTTTTTTTTTTTTTTTTTTTTTTTTTTTTTTTTTTTTTTTTTTTTTTTTTTTTTTTTTTTTTTTTTTTTTTTTTTTTTTTTTTTTTTTTTTTTTTTTTTTTTTTTTTTTTTTTTTTTTTTTTTTTTTTTTTTTTTTTTTTTTTTTTTTTTTTTTTTTTTTTTTTTTTTTTTTTTAAAACCCAACTTCAGCTGAAGATTTTTTCCCTCTCTGTGAAAAACTCAAGACACATCCTCTCCTTCTTTTTTAAGTGTAATGCAAATCCACAAGTTAGAAAAGATCCAAAGCTCCCAAACTCTATAATCCTCCATTGTCATCATCTCCTTGGGAGGCCTGCGATCTATGGTATCCGCGGTATGATTAATGGCTTTTACCTAGCTATTGCCCTGTTTTGATTCTCTGATTGAAGTGAAAACCCCTTCCCTTTTCGTTTCGTTCAGCAGAAGAGATTCCAGATGAAGCAAAGTAGCATATCTCTTTTTCGTGCTGCTGCAGTTGTTCCTGGATTTTGGTAGAGATGGAGTCTCCACTACGAAAGAATCCTCTCTAATGTCCACCCACTTCTTTGAAGCTGACTGAGTTCGGAGCTCCCGATTGACTTTGAGAGGTAAGTTTCACTCTTGCTGATTGATTTTGTTGGGTTTGAATTTGTTTTTTTGTGAGGGTGAGAAATTTTGTCATTTGTGGCATCAATAATGCGTTCTTTGCTCTGCTATCAATAATGCGTCATTTGACTTTGAGAGGTAAGTTCACTCTTGCTGGATTGATTTTTGCTGGGTTTGATTTGTTTTTTGTGAGGGTGAGAAATTTGTCATTTGTGGCATCATAATGCGTCATTTGCTCTGCTATCAATAATGCGTCATTTCCTTATGAATATTCATATACTTAGTTGATTATTTTTGTTTGGAGGGGGATTGGAAAATTATGAAATGTAGGTAAAAGATCCTAAACTTAGGCTTAATGGCATTAGAAGTAAGCATTTGGAGAGGATATTGGGTGAAGTTCTGTAATTGCTGTTTTGAATTACTTTGAGTTCTTAGTTGAACATGTTGGTTCTAATGTTATTTTTTCCAGATTATTTCACAAGAGATGACGTAACTATTATTAAATTTTTGCTTGTGTTTTGTGTAATCAAATCCAACAAGCTAGGCTATGCGGTATTGTGTCAATTTGGGCAATGTTTTGTGTAATTGGAATGCATTGATAAGTTTGTGATGCAGTAATGATTGATTAATGAATTAACATTTGCTATGCAGTAATATAGAAGTAGATCAATAATATACGTGGATAAAAATGTCTGGGGGCTCAGAGAGTGATGACTCTGTAACTCTAATGGGAGGTTTTACATTCCTGAAGTAAGAAATGAGGAAACACCAGCAGTTGGGATGAAGTTCGACTCGCTTGACCTCGTTTATAATTTCTATAATAGATATGCATTCTTGGCTGGCTTTGGTATTCGACTTCATTCCAGCTTTGGGGGAAAAATAAGAAAGAGATTCTGAGAAAAGAATTTGTATGTTTGCAAACAAGGTGCATACCGGAATGATGAAACTCGGAGAGAAAAAGACAGCGGGAATAAGTAGATGCAATTGCAAAGCTAAGATTGTGGTTGTGAAGACACATGGGAGCAAGAAGTATACCATCTCTCTTTTTGCAGAGGGACACAATCATAAAGATGACACCCTCAGGAAGAATGCATTTACTGAGATCACACCGTCGTATTTCAGATTCTACAAAAGTACTTACAAAACATTGGGTTCGGTTAATATCCCCATTAATCAGAAGGTAAGTATTTTCGAGGTGCAATCCGGAGGAATGGATAAAATCGGTTTTATCAAAAGGATATGTACAATCTTGAATGTAGTGTGAATGAGAAGCTGAGGAACCACGATGTTGAACTAGTGACCGAGTATTTTAAGGCTGAACAGAAAAAAAATGAGGCTTTTTATTTCAAGATTGAGGGAGATGGCGATAACAGGTTTAGTCGATGTTTTTTGGGCAGATGCAACTTCTAGACGGGCGTACGGGTTTTTATGGAGATGTTGTTGTATTCGATACCACATTCAACACGAATAGATACGACTTGACATTTGCACCAATGTTGGGAGTTAATAACCATGGTCAAACAATTGTCCTAGCATGCGCATTTTTGAGCAAGGAAACGACTGAGTCGTTTTATTTGGATGTTTTGAGGAGTTTAAGAAAGCCATGCCAGGTGGCGAACCTAAAACGATCATCACAGATCAAGATGCGGCAATGAGCAGAGCGATTTCAATAGCCCTCCCCGACTACATTTCATCGACTTTGCATATGGCACATCACTCAAAGTTCTCTGTTAAGTTACCACATTCTGCTTATAAGGAGTATTGGGGTGAATTCCAGAAAGCCATATGGGATACTGACAATAAGGATGAGTTTGATGCAAAATGGAATATTGTGTTTACAAAGGCTGGTTTGACTGACCATCCATGGCTAAGTTCAATGTTTGATTTAAGGGAATCTTGGGTTCCAGCCTACGCACGACACTTTTTTGCCGCTGGAATGTCAAGCAGCCAAAGAGCTGAATGTTCTCATGGTTTTCTTCAAGCAATACATATCAAGGAAAATTCGTTGATGGATTTCATAATAAGATTTGAGAGGGCACTTTCTCATCAACGTCAAAAGAGTTAGTTGCTGATCACGTAGATGCATTTGAAGTGGCTCAATGTATTCTACCGATGCCAATGAACAAACAAATGGCTACCTTGTACACAAGGACAATGTTTCAAAAGTTTGAGCAAGAACTAATACAAAGTACAGCATGTTTCCTAGAGCTGAAAACAGAGGATGCTTCTAAAGTTGTCTTTAATGTGAGCGAAAGGAAAAATTTGGGAAACAAGAGTGGCAGAAGTCGTATATGTCAAAGATTCTGACCACGCATCGTGTAGCTGCAAAAGATTTGAATTTGTTGGAATTATTTGCAAGCACATCCTAGCATTGTTCAGAAGGGACCAGATTGAATATATGCCCGATAAATACATTTTGAAGAGGTGGAAGAAAACTGCGAAATTTGGATTGGTGTCAGATGCAAATGGCAACGAAATTAAAGACTCTGCAGATCCTGGTCTTTTAATAAAGCGGAGTACAATGTCCCGACTTGCTTCAGATGTGGTTGAGGATGCATTAATGTGTGAAGAAGGATGTGAGCTACTGTCAGAGACTCTAAAAAGTTTGCAGGTGAAGTTGAAGTTGTTGAAGGATGGACCAAGTAATAACGAAGTTGGAGGGTCCAGCTCTCAAACACAATATATGAAAGACCCTAAGAGTAAGGTGCAATGGAGGGTCGAAACGAGTAACGGGAGCAAAGGAAAAGGCAATGAAGCGAGGGATTAGACACTGTCGGGAGTGTGGACACATTGGTCATGATAGAAGACAATGCCCAAGAAATTTGAACACACCGTAAGATGTTAACACTATTTATAATAAGACCTAAAATTTGAATAGGTAAAGTTCTTATGTGCTTCTGTTTGATGTTTATGCAGGACATCACCGTCGAACAATGACGAATCAACTCCAATAGATCTTAGTGACCCATTATTTGACGAATTTTACAGGATGCACGGACCAACTCAATGATTTAGGTTTCTATTATACGAAGCCCGGTTATTATGAAGACTAATGATCAGGTGAAGTTTTGTAGATGCAGTTTTATTATTATTATTTTTTGTTCATGTCCACCGATGAGCTCTGACTATGTCCCATTGATAATTGAAATGAAAATTTGCTTGGTTTCATTCTTGCATGAAATTTGGACACATGTTAATTTTACGTCTTCTCCCTATTTAGAAATTTTCATGGACATTAGATAAAGCATCAAATTTTGATTTATGTGAACAAGCAATGACTTTTACCTTGTAAAATGGGTAGTTTATGGTGAATTATGTTTTGAATAGAGATTTATTGATTATATGACAGGCTAATGCAGCATTTCCAGCAGCCAGCTATTGTTTCCATTACCAGTAATGATTTCCAGCAGCACGCATCATTTGTAGCAGCACCCACTTTTTGCGAATGTTATGTTCTAGTGTTTTACTGGTGATTAAGATCTGAGCTGGACTGGTTATTAGGTGCACGATTTTGCAAACATTCGTAGCTGAAGGATACTTGAAGCACTTTGTTGGAACAGAAAGATTAGAAAGCAACGTGTAAAAAAGTACATTGCAGCTAATCACATTTCGAATGGTTGGGTAATATTAAAGGGTACACTAACTTTGAACTACTCATAATTCCCACACACAAAAGAAAATTTGATTGCAAAGCATTTTATGTGCTCCCTCTTAGCAATAGCACGATCTCCCCAATAAACTGAACAACGGTAGCCACAATCACTAGGTCGTATTGGTCAGCTTCTTCTTAGCAGGTCTCGCGTGCTTATGGTCACTCATGTCCCCAGTGATTTAGACAAAATAAATATTCAGCAATATTTGGAATTTTATTATATATACATAAACCATAAACCATTCACTACACAATGTATAGCACATGGCATTTTACTTATGACTCACGTGTCATGATAATGGGGCTTTTACTGATTACCAGGGTGCTGTGATATTGACTGCTTATTGAATAATATTTCCATAGTTGCAAAATATAATGTTAGACAGAAGGAACACATGATGACTTGCAAGACATAGTCCCAATAATTATATATGAAGCAAATGAAACTGATATTTGTATTATTTTATATTAGATAATGACATTAAGGGAACATAGTTCTAATTTGTGCAATACCACGATCACCCCCAACCAACAGAACAGCTGTAGCCGCAATCACTTAGCCGTATCGGTCGGCTTCTTCCGAGCAGCTTTGACGTGCTTATGCTCATTCATGTCACCACCATCGTCTAGTATCTCTCTCACAGCATCAGGGACACATAGTCCCAATTATAACTTGTATGAGTTGTTGCCGCGAATGCTCGGAATTTTTCGAATCCTTCGTTGAATGCCAACTCCAGTTCACTGTGGTGCTCTTCGCATCGCATATGGTTCATCAAACAACCTTTAATTTCATCATTCATTACTGCATCCAACTCCTCAGCTTTCAGCTTCCTTTTATGACTCAGCTTCAAGTACTTGTTCTTTTGGGAGAACGCTTTGTTCACTCTAATGTTAAGATCAGCCAAAATGGCCTCGTCTTCAACACATTTCTCGTGCCATGAATTGATCAGTCTGGAATTATAATCCAGCTTGGTACTGACAGCATCTATTGCCTCTAATGGATCATCGGAGTCCCCCTCACTCCCAAATGATGTTGAAAATGGAAGGGGTCGGCGAGTACAACGTGGAAACGGAACCTGCGACTCCAATTTTTCATCTTTGATTGTGTTGTTGGCGCCTGAAGAGGTTGACATACTTGAATAATCCTATTTGTTTTGGAGGATGAGGATTGCAGATGCAATTTCGTTTGAGAAATGGAACATAGCTTTATAGACCAACAGACCAAAGCTTGCGTGTAGTCAACATATCTACTTTATTTCAATTTTAAAAAAACAGGTGTCAGGTTTTGCTTTTCAAGCATGTCAACCTCACACTCTCCTTACACCACTGTTAGTGGTTGAAAGAAACTCAATGGAAGTGACATCTAGTTAGTGAACCCAACCAAACTAAACAAACTAGTTAGGATTAAACTTAGCTTGTATGAGACCCTTTTTTCATTTATACATTGTCAACCAAATGTTTTTTTTGGCGGGAACCCTTTTTTATTGGTATTACTATCACCCCCTTCATAAAAATTCTCCCTCCACAAAAAACTCACTCCTCCACCGAATGTGTCTCCATCTACTGAAACTCTCTCCTCCACAGAAACTCTCTCCCCCCATTTAATGGATTTACTAACCAAGTTTGATGTGAGCGTAATAAACACCCCTCCAAACAAAGACCGCCTTCGAAACGCAAGTGAGTCACCAGACAAGCAATGTCACTTTCCTAGACAGAATGACCATTTTGTTGGGAAGTTTTGAGTCTGAAAGAGTTCTTGCTTTCTGGAAGGAGAGGCATCTTCAACTTGGTGATGAAATCCAAAGGGCAAGGGTACGTTTGGAATTTGTTGAAGGCCAAATTGAAGATGACAAAAGGCAGGCCAATCTGGATAGGGCGAAGTTGCAGCGCATGAAGCGTAGACACAAACGACTTCGGAGTGTAGCTGTTCAAAAATACAAGAACTCATCTAATGCAAAGGAGTCAAAGAAGCGTGTGATGCAAGCTGGATTCGACTACTTCCGGTCCTATGCAAAACTCGTCGTACCCGGGTTTGATTGGTCATCTATTACCGTTTCCGACGTTAACAAATATACTCAGCAAGGGAAGTGACCATTTTGGTTATCGTGTTTGAGTAGAGGCAAATCAGAGGAACTGGAATTTTCGTTAAGCTCTGCTTCAAACCTATTTTGATGCTTACTACTATAGAAGATTTCAACCTTCATATTTTCATGTCTTTAATTACGATAACACGATGCAAAGTGCCCATCTACTTCAGTCATATGTTTGCTGCCATGTCCATTTTTTTGTGATCACGTATCAGATTTGGACATGGTTGCATCATATGCAATGTTGCCTTTATGTATTATATGTTAGGGTAAGGTTTATGGAAAAGCATGTGTGACTGGTTTTGTGACAAGGTTATGGCATTATTTTTGTACCAGTTATATATTGTTTTTTGTACTGGTTCATCTCCTACTATTGCTTTATTTCTTTATATTATATGTTTATGCGATTGGACATGATAGAAAATATATTACTGATTCCCAATGCGGCGTCATAAGGACAACTTATTGAATACCGCCGACGTGTTGAAAACTCTAGGTGCAGGTGCATATGGACAACTTATTGACTATATCTGACGTCTTCAAAGCTCTAGGCGCATGCGCAGTTCCAATTATGGCTTCCAAGTAGTGGTGCATTTATTATATGTACATTATTATAACCAAAACAGATAATTTTACATCCTTATATATGAAAGGAAACTAATTCTTGTATTAGTACAAATTATATAACGAATATTAAGGAAATATACTTGTTAAAGTGAACAACATATATACTTAGGGTTAAGAGGAAAGTGAGTTATGTAAATCATTTTTGAATTTTTAATTGCGAAATGGATGATCTATGGGTTCCCCTCGTTTTATAACGTCACACGGAGGCCGGAGTATTTTTCGGGGCATTTTTAGGATTTTTCTACTATGTATTGCATTTTTTCAAAGATTTTTGCACTAAAAAAGCCAAAATAATTGCCAAATGGACACCTGGCGCGATCTCAGCCCCTCACCTTTCACCCCTTGACAGGTGTGCGTCAGTCAACATGGCCACATCCTTACCTTTTACCCTAAATTATTATTTTATGACTTTTTCTTAGAAAATTCATAACTAAATACACAAAAATCACAATAATGTTCCGAAAATTGCTACGACCTCATTGACACTCCATCTCCCTTGCTGAATTCCCCGATTAGTGGTTACGCATTTTAAAAAACAATTCCGAACATTAACGGGAGATGCTTGTTGAAGTAGGTTATTGAACTTAAAGTGAACAACATATATACTTAGGGTTAAGAGGAAAGTGAGTTATGTAAATCATTTTTGAATTTTTAATTGCGAAATGGATGATCTATGGGTTCCCCTCGTTTTATAACGTCACACGGAGGCCGGAGTATTTTTCGGGGCATTTTTAGGATTTTTCTACTATTTATTGCATTTTTTCAAAGATTTTTGCACAAAAAAAGCCAAAATAATTGCCACATGGACACCTGGCGCGATCTCAGCCCCTCACCTTTCACCCCTTGACAAGTGTGCATCAGTCAACATGGCCACATCCTTACCTTTTACCCTAAATTATTATTTTATGACTTTTTCTTAGAAAATTCATAACTAAATACACAAAAATCACAATAATGTTCCGAAAATTGCTACAACCTCATTCACACTCCATCTCCCTTGCTGAATTCCCCGATTAGTGGTTACGCATTTTAAAAAACAATTCCGAACATTAACGGGAGATGCTTGTTGAAGTAGGTTATTGAACTTAAAGTGAACAACATATATACTTAGGGTTAAGAGGAAAGTGAGTTATGTAAATCATTTTTGAATTTTTAATTGCGAAATGGATGATCTATGGGTTTCCCCTCGTTTTATAACGTCACACGGAGGCCGGAGTATTTTTCGGGGCATTTTTAGGATTTTTCTACTATTTATTGCATTTTTTCAAAGATTTTTGCACAAAAAAGCCAAAATAATTGCCACATGGACACCTGGCGCGATCTCAGCCCCTCACCTTTCACCCCTTGACAAGTGTGCATCAGTCAACATGGCCACATCCTTACCTTTTACCCTAAATTATTATTTTATGACTTTTTCTTAGAAAATTCATAACTAAATACACAAAATCACAATAATGTTCTGAAAATTGCTACAACCTCATTCACACTTCATCTTCCTCCTCAATTCCCTGTTTCATGGTTACGCTACATTAGTATTTTATTATTATTTATCCAAAATTATTTTTATTATTATTGTTATATTACTTGTTAGCTTGTACATTTGTTAATTATATTTACTCCAAATTTGTAATTTTATTTTTATTTTCCGTGTGAATAGACCATTTCTGGTGCTAATCAGTTTCTCTCTTCTTCAATTTGTTAATGTTTTTTTCTTTTTTAGGTGTAAGGGATGTTTTCAAACATAAAATGGAAATATACAAGCCATCCATTCTACAACATCAGGAAATAATTATTCAAAGTCTTTAACTGTTCAAGTTTTGCTTAAGAAACGTGTAACCCCAATCATTTGGGATATGCTAAGTGGGAAAATGTCATTCCCAAGAACCGGTGAAAAGACACATACTCACTTCATGCATGCGTTTTCGTTTACCAAATATTAAGATTGCAGTTGTACAAAATATCTGTGTCAGTAAAATGTCATTCTTAGCCGTCAATTATGTCAGTAATAATTCCACTATATAGCAAATATTATACATTTATATATAAACGGGCTAGGACAGCACAAACACCAGACAAATAGATTAAAACATGAAATAGAAAACAACATGTGTAGAACATAGACACGCATAAAACCGTAGAAACATACTCCAACTAATTATAAGGGTATGGATTCCCTGGCACAACATAGACACGCATCACCTTGAACCAAAAAACACTCTCACGGTGCCATTTGCATCGATTGCAACAAGTCCAGAAGGCAGGATTGATCTTTTCTTCACTAGGCCAGCCTGGAATAACAAAACACCAGTCGTTGTTGTTACAAGCGCTGCACTGATTGAACTTAATCTTCCCATAGTGAAACATATCTACGATATGTCTTCCAACAGAGAAAATTCCGCTTAATCGTCGTCTCAAAGCATCCCTGGTTCCTTTCATATCAATGTTGTTACGTTGATTCAAAGAACACAAGAATTCCAATGCATCCTCTTTTGACTGACCAATTCCGGACATGCCAAGTAGTCCAACTAGATATGACGCTTCCATATGGCCTGCCGTGGCTGCAACGCGCATCCCAGACAATGCTTCCACATTACCCTGCCTGAAAAACATGTCGAACGCTTCTCTAAATATCGCCTCAGGGTTCTGGCAAGCCCTGCATTGGTCCACGAAATGCCGGACCTGCTCTGCGGCATAGTACCAGTTAGGATGGTCTCGGTACTTTTCCATTGAAATTGTGTTCCACACTTGTGGAGTGTTTGCCAACGTATTGAACAATCGGCACACACATGCCATACGAAAGAGATCTTCCGATGAGTTGGTTGCCACGTATAACATCACTTTAAACCAAGCTAATTCCGGGATGAAGGCTTGAGGCACATCCGGATCGCGATGCTTCCTTCTCTTTCCTCCGACTGTAGTGTAATGTTTGGAATTCATTGAAATATTTTGGAATGGAACGATTTGAGGACTGCAAGAGGGGAGAAATGAGAATATACGGGGTTTTGGGTTTGTTTTAGCCTCTGGTTGCACTGTTCTGAAAAGGTGTTTCCTTGGGGTTTTACCAAGTTGACACTTTTTAAAGAAACTGAACTCAACACCCAAAACATAAGACAGGCGAAGGGAAAACGTCATCAAAATGCAAAGGGAGTCAGACCGTCCAAAAGTCAATTAATAACCTATTTCCATAGCCATTGTTAGGCTTTTCCCGCCATTAAATTCATTGATACAAATGTGATGGATTACTGACTAGTGACAGAAGGTCCCATCAGATACTTTTTCATTTTCCCACACCACACTACCCCTATTAAATGACGGATTCTTATCCAACTAGTTGCCTTAATGCAATATAAAGAAAATAATATATTTAAAGCAGTGTCCCCTCAATTGTAAGATTAATTATTGTTTGTGAAATAGTATAT